TATAAGGTCGCATGAAAGTTACTGAAACAATTTTGTTCCCGGCTTTTCAATGATAATAATAATAACATTAATAAAAATAATAATATTAAAGTTTATTTTTTCTTCCACAAAGTGCATAATTATAGCTACGAACAGTTTACACGTTAAATTGTGGTAAGGATAATTTTGTGGGAGAGTGATGCCTAAACTTCCTAAATTTAAATAACAATACCTGTGCGTCAGGTCACCAAGTTCCCACCTCTCAGATATACAAGTTCAAAAAATCGCACAAGGTATTTTTAACACTACTATCACCATCGAGAAATATTGTAATGTCGCTTCTCAATCCACAGATACAAACGAATGAGTTGAATCTTGTAAATTAGAATCTCGAAAAGAATGATTACTCACGTGTATAGGTGCATCATACACCTGTGGGTGTTCATTTACTGGAGAGTTGTAATGTCAATCAATGATGATAATTTAATTCTGTACGTTCCAGATAATTTGCACGCGATCGAACACGGGCACGCCCGAAACGGTGCGTCGCATCGCGGCCATGTTGGAGGACAGATACTACGTGCCCGTGCTGCACTGCGAGGACGACAGCGGAGCTCCCACCATCGGAAGGGCTTTCACGCCCGCCGCACCTCCGGTACTTGCCCGATATTATTTGTGTCATTTGCAACTTGAAGTTTGGTCTCAAATCGCCATTTTTAATTGGTAGAAGCGAAGGCTTATCCACTCCTTGATATCGTGGAACTATTTTCAACACATAAAACAATACATAAAAATTCCTTCGATCTAACTAGAAAGGGATGTCGATTCAGCATCTGTGGAAACATGGCCACCGCTCTTATCATCTGATATGATACAGATCTAACGATTTTCTCTATGTGCTTGTTGCTGATATTTGTTTCTGCTGACATGATCTGTAGGTCAGTTGGTAAAAGCGGTAGCCACGTTGAGGCAACAGTCGCTGGTTCGAGTCCACACGGATCGAAGTTTTTTTTCTTGTGTCTTCGATTTTTGTATCAATAATAATGATAAACTAGTGGAATATTTAAAAAAAAAAGGTGAATATGTTGGTAGTAAAAATATCATGATATTTAATATAAAAATAAATATTTGTGTATAGTTACGTAATTGTTGTTTATAGACATCGAGTATATAACCAGAAGTAGAGACGAAATAAGGGCCATGTATTCCTGGTAACACATTAGCGATACAGCTCTTATAAATATCAACTCTCGTTTGCACTGAAAAATAGATAGGCCAGCTACTGACCTGTGTGTACATCTCCGTATATTCCAAAAAATATTCTGTATTTTTGTAATACAGATAATGTCTCTAACAATGGCGTGCTGTTCCATTCGTTGGAGTGGGGAAAAACAGCAAAACATCTAATTACAAAACAAACGGTAATCACATTTCATCGGTAATTAAATATTAAATATGTAATTATGAAATTTTCGTGCATTATACCAAAACTCAAGTTAACTGGTCGATTTGAAGTGAAACAGTTGACGACAACCATTGACGACACCTGTCAATTGTTTTGAACTCGGGCTAGCCAATCGGAGCGCAGTTGTCACAGTAATGATATGGCAGAATAGTGTTCAAACAAATTAAATGAGATTTCGTCTCTATTTCTGGTTATATACTCGATGTTTATAGAAAACGTACTGGATTCGAATAAGGTTGATTTTTTACACGAAATGGTATTTACTATTTTTTGTTGATTTCGTTTGATATAAGACTATGTAATTTTGGTATGTAATGTAATAGTAAGTTTATCAGTGTGCGTGCGTTTTGCGATAACGGCTTTAGTTTAGTTTGTTTGTTCTATGATATAAAATATAAGACAATAGTTTACCTCGTACTTTTTTCTGTAGGAGATAAACCGCGATCCGCTGAGTCCGCGTTACGAGATCCGTGCGTTCGCGGGGCCGATGAAAGCCACCGACGCGGACACGTTCCGCCGCCGCTGGAAGACGCCGCCGCGAACCGTCCGCCCACCAGGCAAGCTCGCACCAGCTACCTTCAGGCTGCAGGAGATGACTAAAGGACTGGAAACCGTTGGCAGGTCGGTTACACTAGTTCCAAGTATTCTCGATAGAGTACATTTCTTCATTCACTTGCTTACTGAACGAACTCAAAGCTTTATTTGTGCTTCGCTTTCTGTTGTGCCGGTCGTCGTCCTTAATTAGCTTTTAACCACTATGTATTTGTTTACAGAAATTTAGCAGAACAAATGAAAATAGGTTGGAAAGAATACTGGCCATTCCTAGACACATTCACAGATCTGCGCACACCGGAAGGCTTGATTTTATTAGAAAACTATCTGAAAGCGAAATACGAGATCGCCTGTACCTTCGCCTATAGCGACAGTTGCGTTGACGTACCGGAATCACCTGAAAACCTGACCATATCACGGCTCAATTTGGGGAATATCTCACAACAGAGTCCTGTAACAGATACGTCAATGAGCCCGATGTCAGAATTGTGCGTAGCTATGAATACGTGTAAAATAACTGACCGTCCACCAAATTGGAGGAAAACAGGGCCAATAAGACGACTGCTCGCTCAACAACCAATAGTCAAAAAGCTGCCTAATGGTGAGGCCACGGCTGTATTAAACCACACAGTTAGCCCGTTACTCTGCATAGAAAGAACTTGCCAGGTATTCGCAAAAAGAATAGCTGATGCGTTAACATTCTCTCTAACTGCAGAACCTGAAGTAGCTGGCGAATCCTTAAAATCTGAAGCCAAGCATTTACAAAACACGATTTTTACCTACATGGACGACGAGAGATTCCAAAAAATAGATTTCGCTTTGACGCACTCGCGACTTGCGCAGCTAGTAGTATATAAACTCAGACAACAAACAACAGAACTTGATGACATTAAAAATCTAGTAGAATTTTTAGGAAAACTTCGGTGTCCGAATGATGATATATTTAGCTCTGATGACGAACGGAAACCGACGAGCTCTCGAGGACCAAATAAAGTCAAAATGATGCACGTCACAGATGGCCATGTTAGATGTTTAGCTAGTTTTATATGTGAAGAGTTGACGGAGACGGACGGTACGAAAAGCCCCGCTATGTCGGAGACAGGATGTATTGAAATATGGGAGAAGGCCGCTAAGTGCAGATGCGAGTGGAAGATAGAGGCATTTGAGAGAAATAGCAAGAAAAACGCATCGTTTAGAAAAAACAGATCTATTTTGTCGACGAGTCCGAAAAGTGATAGTTTTATTAGGCGGCTTTCTTTTGATCATGACATTGGTGAGTAGATCTTCTTTGCCTTAATAGCTGTGTAACGAAAACGGGATTGATGGGCTTAGCACTTGTGTTTTCAAAATCAGGGTTTCAAGCGATAATTATCGTTGAAAATTATTATGGTTATTATTTTGATAAATACACCTTGATCATTTATCTTGATATTAATAAAAAATAATTAAAATATCAAAATGCTTCCGCTAGCAATGTCGTGTCATGTGTTTGTATCAGACACTTATCCAATATGTCAAATGTTATACTCAAAAAAGTCACAGACCAAATCGTTTTCCTGAAGATTTTTCTTCGTGCCTATTTAGTTTTGTCGCTTTGCTATTTTAATAAAAAATTAAACAAATAAAACTATGAATGAACATGGATATTTAACGGACGCATATCAGATAGTTATCAGATAATTATCATGATAATTATTATACAATATAATATCGTGATAATTTCAAATGTTGTTCAAATTATATTGACTGAGGTTTTGCATTTTAGAATAAATTACAAAAGGATAATTGATTATAGATGAACCTTTAAGTTTATAATAGAAAACTACCGTGAGACTCTGACACGAAGTGGTATAGATGAGCATTTATGCACGATATATACATAAGAAAATGCATAGTCAAACACACGCACGTATACAAATAAACAAACGAAAACCACACACACACACACACACACACACACATATACTTACACAAATTTCGAGTACAATAGCCTACTAACAATTTAATTTTACTTTCAATTTTATTTCTTACTTTTGCACATATTGTTTGTTATCTTAAATGCGAGTTTTATCTTGTTAAATAGCACCTACAGTAGAAGTATTGTATTGTTTCCGGAGGTGGGAGCCTGGAGATCTGTCACACAGGTACACCTAGTAAGGACTCCAGTCTCTTACCAAGGTTTTTCTTTTCTTAGTAAAAGTTCACGTTAGCTCTTTATAAATTTATTTATTTAAGGACCTTGATAAAAGACAATAAAGATTATTATTATTAACTAAACTAACAGACAATTCACGTATTTAAGTGGAATTTTTGCTCAACATGTCACGTTTTGTTGACAGGTTAGAACCAGTCCTTAATCATGAGATTCCGCGGCGGTGACTTAGTACGGCTACTTAGTCGTCAAGAGTCGTAAAGAGTCCGGTTACTTAGTACGGCTGCTGGCGCAGGCGGTGGCACGAGGGACCGTACTGAGTGACCGGGCTCTCAGGCCTTTGGCGCGCAGTTTCCGTTGAATCATCGGTGCGGAATCTCATGACTAAGGATCACGGACTAGTTCGAAACACGTCGAAAAAAAATTGGACTTTACATTTCTAACCTAGAGTTTTGTCGATTTTATTTAAACTTGACCATGATTTTAATTTCTAAGTATGTACGTGAATGTTTGGTAGCAATTCTTGGCGGACTGTGACCTAAACCTTAGCGGTGATCTGTGCCCCACAGTCGGACGCATAGTGGTTGACAGTGATGATGATGATGAATAATAACACTGGTAACAACGTAAAAACAACCATGATGTGCAGCTTTAGGAATCTCGCTATGTATAGAACTAATGGGAATAAAGATAAAAACATTATATTTATTCGCACTAGTTCTATGTAAGAAACTTTTTGTTGAGTACAAGGAAGTTCTGAGAATAAACGCATATTCTAAGCTACTATGAACGACCCCTGTCCAGATTTTCACCGTCAGTTGAGATTGGGAAGGAACGTTTTGGTTCAGTTACCTTTTCATTTTTACAGGCGACGGCAAGCTACAGCACACGGAGGCGGAACAGCCAGTAAGCGTTAACTCGCCGGGCGGCGACAGCTCTCCTGTGGCCGTACCGCAGCCCTTTGTTCTGCAGCCGACCGCACCCACAGCGCATACGCAAGTCGTTGTGCAGGAGCCTGTAATGTTCACCATCGACGTCGCGAAGTGCCACGTTGTTAACGCAGAGGTCTGTGCTAACTTGTTGAATATTGATTATGCAGTCACGAATAAGTAATAATAATAACGCACACACCCTGTATCGCGGGTGCCTTGGACCCACACATAGACAACCACCAATTACACTCAAACTCACGAAAGAAATAAATATAGACCATACAAATATTTCATCCGGCCTGAGAATCGAACCCGAGACCTCAGCGTGGCAGTCCAGTGTGGTAACCGTTTGGCCCTGGAGGCAGTTAAATAATTTTGAATTTGAGGCAATATTGTTTAAACAACCATAAATACAAGAATACACACGTGGTAGAAGTAATACAATTTCCTTTCTTAAAACTGATTTGTGTTTTCCTATACAATAACGGATTAAATAAAAGAAATGTATAAATGTAACGTGTACGTATTCTGTAACGTGTGTCATTAAAGTACATTGGCTTTCTTGCAGCTAACAGACGACTCGGAGTGTTCGGCGGCGTCGTGTGCGTCAGACGACGAGGAGGCGTACCAGACCGCGTCCGAGCAGTCCGCGTCCGAGGATAACATGCACGACGCCAGCGACCGTGCCTTGGCCGAGCCCTTCATCTACGGGTTTGTCTTCAGACATTATAATTATCGCGTGGTAACTCCGTCTAACCACTCATATTGTGCCGACCCACTTAGCGCGGGATAAGGACAGGAAGAAGAAGGTACTCCGTCCAACCATTTATTTCACTTTTGGCGTGTGCATGTCTCCGAAGTTCCGCAATTATTGACATATAACCATAAACAAAAAATTCAATACTTCCTTGACTTTAATTTTAGTGAAGAGACGTGTTCTTTAGCTTCGATATTTAAAAGTAAAAAAAGTAAAAGTTTAAAAGTAACGAAGATGATACATGTTGATAAATTTTGGTACCTGTAATAAATTATAATGATATGAAATAAATTATAAATAATTATAATAAATTCTTATTGTTTATTATAATTAATCGTCGTATTCCTCTCCATATGATCGTGAATCATCACTTGAATCCTCACTAACATTAATTATTAATTCTTGAGTATTGTCAAATTGTCAAACGCAACATCGTGATCCCAATCAGACGACAATATTTTCTTTATGAAACCCGCTCACATTCGTGATTAAAACTTCTTTATAAATAAAATCGATTGTTTTACGCACGCATTAGGACATCACTAATTGATTAGACTTCAAGCTGTCAAAACCTAAATAAATGGTTGGACAGAGTATAGTCTGCGTTTCCACTTTTGTGCGTCTTTTTGACAGGGAATTCCGGAAAGAATTTTTTTATGAATCTAGGGACAAGACGAACAAGTCGCGCGCCTGGTGGTAAAAGACACGCCTATTTATGACCGTTACAGCGCCTCTCAGAGTTTTAAATCGCAAAGATCCGAGGGGCACTGCTACTGCATACGTCATCCTGAGACATATTGAGGAGGGGCCTACGTAAAGTATCATATGTCGAAATTGCCAAGTTTACAGGGGAGCGTTTTAAAGTTTTGAATTCACTGAAATGAGCATAAGATGTGACTTTATTTTTCAGTTTTATTCGGCAATAGTCACACGGAGTATTATAAAATCCTAGATGTCGGTTAGATGACAACTACAATTTATTTTATCATTTTACAATTTAATTTAGCATTTCTATACTAAAGTCACGTATTATTTATCATTTAGTGAATTCAAAACTTGACGCTCCCCTGTAAACTTGGCAATTTCGACATACGACACTTTACGTAGCAGGAGTTGATAAGTTGACGAGTCCCATGTCCCGTGTGCCTCTTCAAAACCGGAACGCAGAATGCTCACATTACTGCTTGACGGCAGAAATTGATAAGGTGGCAGTACTTCCCGAACAAACTTTTTTACAAGTAGCTTTACTACTACCTCTGTACTATGCGACGAATACTAGTGACCACTTTGTCCTGTATCTTGATTAGCCAGACCTCTTGAGTTATAGGTGTATTTTATTATTTATAATTGTATCGTTAGAAAGGAAAAACAAGAGAAAGAAAGAAGGTTTGGCCCTTGATGTTTTAAATAATTTAAGTTATGTAGTAATTGTGATAACATTTGCAGCGAAGAGCCGACGAAAATGGACCGGCTGGTGTTCGAGGCGATATCTGCGGTGCCTGTTAACGTGGAGCAGTTCCCCAATGTGTACCGCTGGCGGCACACCGTCGCGCTTTATTCACCTTCCGAACGAGACAAGTTAGTATTACAAAGTGTATATACGGGTTATTTGTAAAATCTGTACAATCTCGCAGGACTATATAATAATAAATATAAAAATAAAAATGTATTTATTTCTCAAATTTTATACACATCGTAGATGAGGTTTCCCCATTAACCAAATTTATGCTTGTGTTGGGAAAGCCTCGCAACTTCCTTGAGCTTTGAACATTGAGATCTTATAGCGAATGAATGGGTTAGTTATAGTAATTACTTATATCAAAGAATGTTTAGTGCTTAGTAAGTGTTTAATGCACTGAGAGTATAAATATACATTTTTATGTGTATATATAATCGTCTCATCTGTAGAACAAAGACCTATGTGCAAGTCTGCTTATTCTCAGAACATTGTACATTTCGTTTGCTGTTCTTAGCTGTCGATATCAGAACGACCATTGATCGATTTCATATTTCTGAAACGAAATAATATAGAGTTTTACAACAAGAACTTTGTTCTGTAAATCAAAATAAAACAATAAATTTAGATGACAGTGATTAAAATTTTTATTGTATTAAAAAAAAGTAAGGTTTGGAAATTAATAATGAAAAATGATATTTGATAAATGTCCACCACGCCCACGTCCAGTCACACAGCCACCGAAACAATGAATTTATTGCAAAGCAAATTTCTCGAGCTCATAATTTCACGAAATTCAGGCGTTAAGTGGCCAGCTTGATCATGTGATTTAACAACACTGGGTTATTTTTTATAGGGTTATGTTAAAGACAGAGTCTACACGGAGCCAATCGAATCGATTGCAGCCTTAAAACTCAAAATTCGTGGAGTGATTAACGAAATAGACCCACCATTTTGTCAAAAAGTGATTAAAAACTTTACTGAAAGAATCGACATCTGTAACTGTGGTCGTGGTGAACATTTATCAGATATCATTTTTCATTCATAATTGCCAAACCTTACTTTTTTTAATACAATATAAGTTTTAATCATTGTCACCTAAAATTGTTTTATTTTGATTTACAAAACAAACTTTTTATTGAAAAACCCTTTACATCAAATTCTGAAAACTATAGCTAGGCCTTATTTTGAATAACAAGATTATGTATTTATCCACCTCCATTGTTCCATTATGTAACACCTGTAAATTCTTGGGTTTAACGCTAGACTCAAATTTGAACTGGAAGTCACATATACAAACTCTATGTCAAAAACTTGGAAGTGCTGCATACGCACTGAGGAAACTGCGTCCTCTTGTCTCCAATGTGGTATTGAGGCAGACGTATTATGCATATTTTCATTCGTTGATGTCTTATGGCATCACACTGTGGGGTAATTCAACTGAGTCGATTAGGGTATTTATTCTTCAAAAACGTGTTACTAAGAACAATAGTAGGCATAAAAAAGGGTCAGACCTGCAGAAACCTTTTTAAGAAATACAATATAATGACCATGTACTCACAATATATTTATGATATAATAGTTTATGCGCGTCAAAACTTGGCTACTTATGAGCGACGTACGGGGGGAGGCCGAGCGTTACGAAACGCAGGAACACTAAAATCCGTTGCCCACCGTACCGAACTGGCAACTAGAAATCCGCGGGTAATAGGTCCCCGATTCTACGAACATCTACCCACAGACCTGAAAAGTGTTAGAAACGATGAAACGTTTTGTACCCGACTAAAAATCCTTTTATTGGATATTGAATTGTACAGTGTCGATGAGTTTCTTTTGAAACAATTTTAATTTTATTTTATTCGACAAGCAGTAGTTATACTACTTTATTTTATATTCATTATTATTATTATTATTTTGTTACTGACGATCATAGTTATCCCTTGACATTGTATTTCCAATTGTAATATTGTGACATTGATAACATGAAATAAACGATTCTATTCTATTCTATTCTATCCTCTTTTCGTTCTATAAATAAATAAAATAATAACGAACACACTCAACATAGCTCGGCACTAGGGAAACCCTGTGTCGCTGGTGCCAAGGACACACACATAGACAACTACAAATTACATCCAAACTCACGAGAGAAATAAATGTAGGCCATACAAATATTTCATCGGACTCTGTCCTTAGGATGAGTCGATAAACACATAAAAATATATATTTATACTTTCAGTTTATAAATATATATTATTACAACTATATTACTGACGTCATAAACAACAGCTTTTCTTCCATGAGAGTTCCATAGATCGCTCTAAACGGTGATAACTGTATACAAAACGCAGCTGCGCAGGTGGGGGTTGTGGAGAAGACGTAAATATAAACCAAACTATTTACAAAAATTGCTGTTTGGTACTCACGGTACAATATACCATTAGGTAATAAATAGATTGTGTCGCAATTAGCGGTTATCTTGAGTTATTATTGGTCCATGATTGCAGACGCCTGCCGAAGAAACTGCATTGTCTAGCACATTATATTTATTTATAATTGAATGCGTCTTCGCAGATGGCAGCCCGCACCGAACCTCGAGGACAGTTCATCAACGTCGTCCTCGCCAATTTCGTTCCGCAACGTGATCACCACCTCGATTCGCTACCCTTCCTCACCCAAGGATCGACAGGCAGAAGTTAATTGGCACGTATTAAGTTTTATTGGAATGAGATGTAACACTATGGGTTAACTGGTTTATGTTGGACTCTTCCATGATTTGTGACACGTAAGGGGAACTGGCATCTTAATCACCTTTTCATGGAAATCTATTCCATTACTGATATTTTGTAAGCTTTTGATGAAAATATTCATAAAAGAATCCTGTAATTCGACTTTTCATATTGGTGAAATTTTGGTGAATAGATACATTCTCGATTATCGCAAGGGGCGCTTTTTGACGCGAACGTGGTGTCGCGCATAACACTAGTATCAATATTTATATATTTTTTTGTATTAGAATTATCGTTCAAGTACGCGACTATTTGGTCTATTTCACTAGTCCTTACCAGCTGTCCCCCTCATTTTAATGGTCCCCAAATACAGACGATTCTTAGTTTTGACCGATCCTCACGATAATCATATTGGTCCGTCGCTACTCTCCTGGCGCTCAAGTTTATCATTAACGACATAAATTTTCGATTCGTCGTTTCGATCATGGCGTGAATTGAATGGCATAAAATGACGGATCGTGAAGATAAATCGTCCCGTATATGGTGGTAATTAAGAGTGACTGACATTATTGTCGTCGAATCAACACTCGCTAATCGCCTGTCCCCCGGCAGTCCGTCGTCGCCGGTGCGGGGCGGGCGGGGGCGAGCGCGAGCTCCCGTGGCGCGCAGTACGCCGCACAAGGATACGGACACCAAGTTTGACCTCGGTGCGACCTCCAGCAGGAACGTGCCACTACAGGTACGTCGTAGCTCCCTCCTTGTTACTTTTCCACTTTGTGCATCTTAGGCCATACCAAATCGTTTTTGTTTTTTACTTTATTTTTTTATTACATTTTAAAATCACTAAAAAGCAATCATTACAGTATAACACAAAGTTACATAATTTATCTGTGTACCGTTCATTCGTCGTACAAAAAAAAATTAAGTGGTATCTGCAGTTGTGCTGACATTCCTCATAAAATGCCCGAGTTTTGTAAATTCAAATAAAACACCTGACTTTTCCATCTGTTTTAAAACAATCGCATGACAACATTGTGCCCCTATACTATTCGAAGTCTTGATGCGCCAAATACGCCATGATTTCATTTAAACTTTAGATCGTTGTTCTTGAAATAGGCCGGTACTCTAGACAGCCTTTGATGTATTTATTATATTACTATATTACAATTACATTTATTTGCCAAGTTTTATTGAAATCGGTTACCGGAAAGTTCGTGAAACTGGATTCAACCCTTAGTTTGCCACCCTTAAAGGTGGCATATTTTCTTCAAAATTAAATGGGACCAATACGGAGGTTCGCTCTTTCCAACTAAAAAATATGACTAAATAGTATACATATGACAATTACAGATGTACATAACATTTGCTATACACTGCACTATATGCATTTAATTTCACGACAATAACACTGACATAATAAAATAATTTAATTTAATAATAGTAATGTTTTTTTACATAAATTGAAAATTAAAAACAAAAGCGGAAAAACAATAAATTAAAACACATTTAAATTTTAAATATACATACAATACTATATATATAATACATCTACAGTTAATTACTATTTAAAATGTGAAGTTAGCCTGTTCCTAAATATAGACAATGGATCAGCGGATGTTTATCCGCATTACATGTACCTCTCAAATTATTGTACATATTCTATTGATGGGTGAATTGAAGCATACATTTAGTTTTGTTCTACACAAGGACAAATGCCAGATCTTAGAAATAGGACATCTGGGATAATTTTGTTCCGGTGACGAGACTAGTAATTTAGCCATAAAGATCTTGTACACAAAGACCAGTTTATTCTTCGTTCTACGTATCTTCAGTGACCAGCGAGTTAGTTTTCTGGGCGCTTGAAGAGAAGGTCCTAGGTTCAATTTCATTTTCTTTTTTATTTTTGATTCTGGTCTGAGCTGAGAGACTACGTAATATGTAACGGTTATTATTGAAATAATTGTATGTATGTGCAGGTGTCAAACTGGCTGCGAGTGACTGGACCGAACTCACCCCGTTCTGCGCTGGTAACGAAGAACGTCGGGCACAACGTCAGCTTCGGATTCTGAACTGCTATATGCAGAAAAACGTATTCAATTGGTTCAAACTCAGCGTTCTTTTTTCAATAGTCTGCAATTACCAAGTCAACCAATTTTTAATACTCTTATCATTGCTGTATCATTAAAGAGACTGTTTGGACCTTGTCACAGACCATAGTTCACTAAGTTGCTTCCTAAACCTACTCTTTCGTTATTTTTTAACGTATTTTTAAATTGCGACTGGTAAATGAATTTATTCGAGCGCGGCTTCCAGGTTTGACAATCGGTGACTATTGGGAAAGGGAAAATTCGCATACCACATAAAAAATCACACACGTTGAGCATTTTTTTATAATAAATATTAATGAACATGGTTTTAATTTTATTCGAGCTACGAGACGTGTTTGTCTGCGGTACCGGCGCCATTGTATGTGTCGTAATTTTCTTTTGTAGCAATTTTGTCGATTGGATTACTAATCAATACAGTAAAAATTTGACTGCGCCAGTATGTTCGGGCACATATATACCGTATGCTTTTGTAATATAAAAATTGTTACGAAATAAAATTACTCACTATTACATTACACACTATGAATTCTCGTATGACTGGCTACCCTATTTGGCACTGCTCGCCCTCGTGTTTTTTATTAGCGCACGTTTGTACGAGTACTTTAGGACTAGTGTTGGGTCGTGGCAAAATACTTGTCTACAAAATAATATTTTTTCGGAAAAACAAATATTTTACAGAATCTGAATATTTTTTCAATTTTTCTACTTCATTTTTTCTAAAAAAATTATAGAACGTGAACAATCTGTAATCATTTGAAATTTTTCGAACAATTACCCACCCAACACTAGTCAGGGCTGCCCCTCGCTAGAGGACGACTGCCAACTATTTATTACCTACTATTGCGTATCTATCTTCTGTAAAAAGTAAGTGTAATTAAACTTGATTTATTCGGTAACTTCTCTCTGCCTTCCACAAATACAAGTTAATGTTTATCATCTACTAAAACAAAACAAAATATAGCAAAAAAGGTCACCCGAAATGAAATTGAAATTATAAGAAGGTACGTAACTATTTTTGCATTAAAGTTATATTAATTATTAAAATTAGAATTCTAAATAGTGTTTGAATATTTTTTTGTATAGAGTTCCCTTTTTTATTTGTACATGACGAAGCTTCACTTACGGCGTAGTACTTTCTAACGTTAAGGTTTTGAATACTCCGGAGGAAGTCGAATGTATGTTTGTATGGAGTTTTATTGTGATTTGTTGATTGTCCTTGTCAAAATATTACAATTTGTGATCGTTACTTGTCTGTTGTCACAATATATTGTGTATTTGCTACATGTCCCTTGAAATGTTACTTGGTTATTTCACATAATACTGCCCATATTTTTCGTGATAGCGCATTTATCGCAATATCACAGAATAGTATAAGTGCAAAGTTGCTCCTTTAAGTATTCTTTAACTAGTGCTAACTTAGGTAACTTTGTACTTCTGGGTACAACTAGAGTGGTGTAATGGTTTTAGATCGTCAAAGATTTTATTTCATCATTTGAAATATTAAACCAGTTACCCCAAAATAAGTTATTTGATAATAATTAATGTAATCTGTCTAATTTGCTTCTTGGAAATATAAAATTACACAATATTGTATGTAATTTGTAACGAATTTTTATTCTTATGCTATTTTAATGTAAAACAGCGAAATCTTTGTGTCTTATAGCTCTCAATAATGAAAGTTAAGTTAAAGTATTGATATAATTCCTTATTTTCATTGTATTATAGATTATTTAGATAATTAATAGATTAAAAATTATTTATGATTATATTAGAATTGCATTTCTCAATTATGTTTATCATAGTGGCTTCTGGCCTTAAGGCATCTGCCTTAATGGGCAGGAGATATCTAGCCATAAATCTCAGAAAATATGAAAATGTTAATTTTTACTAAATCGGCAGTTACTTGAATTGAAATTGTTTGCGACCTCGCACAACAGCTTTTTAAACGAAAGCTATTTCAAACAATTTCTAGGTGTGAATTAAGTATTGCAAGTTGCCATCGGCGGCCATGTGACCGCACATCGACAAAATTCTGCCGAGCCCTTGAACCACCTGACTGGTTCACCTGGAAGGACCGTGGGTAGTTATTTTTTGGCGTTGCTCACCAATATCTACCTAAATTGCCCATGGTTCACCCAGTGAGGTGGTCCACGTGCACGAAGGGATTAAACAGTGACGCATGCTAGTGTCTTGTGTGGTCGTTTGCGTGCACAACAATTTGCTTTATTACGTTCAAAAATTCGACAACCGGCGGTATAAACTTGTCAAGGTTCAGTTCTGCTGCACGTACGTCTAAATTTGAGCGTTTCTTTATTCCACGAAGAATTTAACCAATCAGTTAAAAAAAAAACATTTTTGACGCCCTGTACGCGTTTTCCCGCTTTCCATTTTTTTAGTGTACTGTTAACCTGTTTACACCACTCGCAATACTCACACGTTTCTAAACTACCCACTTGGTCGTAAGTAAAATACCATTGCGCCAAACAAAAAAAGGAGAATGGAGACGTGTACAGCAGGATTGATACAAAATCTCCTAAATGACAATAATTGAATGTAACTTACAGCATCATTTAGCATTTATAGTATGTAAACCATAAATTCTTTTTTTCTTGAAATAAAACGCCAAATGGAATGTTTGATGGGGTTGTTGCACTGATTATACGAATGTTTGTACTTTTATATTTAAAGAAAAGGAAAAATGTAAAATAAAATGTATGTTTTATATATATTTTAATTCACGTAAACATTAGAAAAATAAATTATGACTGGTTCAACTTACATTGTTCTTTAATTTATACACATTTCGAGTTGATTTTAGTGTAAAACTGATTGTGAACTAAGTATAATGTTTAGTCTTTATTGCGCGCATTTTATTCAGATGTGATAAGTAACAATGCGTAAAAACAAGGCACAGTGAAGGCGCTTACAAACCAGACGCTCGTTGTAAGCGATCGACGGTTTGTTTGCCAGTACAATTAGGCTCAATTTTCATTGCCACGCAATGGAATGGAAGCGGACTTTTGTAACGATATTGTACATAGCATAATTAACTTTATGTCAATCATGCAACGTTTTGTACTTTGGTTAGGTACGAAACCGTAGCTGCGGATATTCCCGAGACTGCATGAGAATATTCCGCGCGATCTGTTGTTTGTTCGTATCTAGATTGGACGTTACATAATTGACAAAAACTGTGCAATATGTACAATGCCAAGTATTTATTCCCAGTATCTTTATCTGAAAACGACGAAACAGTTTCATCAATTTTGATAACCGCGTAGATAAACAACTCGAACCACTAGTCAGGAATCATGTCGCTTAGAGCTATATCACACAAGCTATATTTGACCTTGAGAGCTAGATTTCAGCAAACGAAAACCGCACTGTTCGTTATTTTGATGTAATTGGCCTTAACGTTGAACACACGATATCGCTTTAGCACAAATATAGCTTGTGTGATATAATTTTTATGAGTCCCAAAAGTTTTCATCATCTACCGGTTTAGCAAGCGAAATAGGTGAATTCCCATAATCAGAAACGGCATTAAAATCGTCCACATCAGCGGAGAAATCGTCAAGGTAGTCTTCAGGCGGACCCTGTTCCTCGTCCGTTATAGTGTCTTGGTCGTCCTTGGACTCCGTCTCCATGTCGTAGCTTGAAGCGTCTTTCAACGCGTCTGTGTGAAATATCGCATCCAAGACGTCGTTCCTCGTCAATCTAGCCGCTTGTTCTGGTGACACACTTCTCCGTTTTTCCGCAGACCTCACATCTGTTGGACTCCGCTTTGGGCTGATAATTATAGTCATTTTAGGTGAAATTTGTTCCCGTTCCGCGTCTGGATGTATATCTGAAGTGTTTCCAGAATCTTGACCATGTACGCTAAGAGGACTTGATTCTATCACCTTATTTACTTCGTACTTTTCTTCAGCATTATGGCCGGATTTGCCTACGTCGGGTCTATAATTCCCTTTCTCTTCGATGCCCGAATTTTCAGACGTCTGTTGTCCACTCGGTGATTTCCGCGATTCTAAGTTATATATTTTATTAATATTATCTTTTAAAATTTCCAATTCTGCAATTTTTTCTTCTTTCTCTTTCATCAATGCTTCCTTTTTGACCTGCAGTTCTACAACTTCAAGAGGTAGTGGTGTTTCTGTTTGTTTATTAGTTCCGTAAGATGGTTGTCTTTGAGGCGATCTTGAACTTTGTGGAGATGTTGTGCCTTTGGTCGGTCTATGCACGACTGTCGATCTTGACCCATCGCCCGAACTGGGTCTAGTATCCATATACAGCTTCCTGAACTCCGTCATAGGTTTTTCTATGTAATCATTGTTTGGTTTTAACCTGTCTTCGGTAGGTTGATTAGAATCTGCAACTGGCACAGGTTTAATTCTAGATGAGACTGTGATACGGTTTCTGAACCGTATGTCGTTCAAGTCTAAATTATTAGAATATCCTTTAAAGGCACCGACTTCGTTAGAAACTGTTTTGTCTTTCGTTTCAAGTAGTGAATGTTTACCTTCTGTATTTCTATCCGATGGTTTTGGATATTTTGTGTCTATTTCTTGTGGCTTGTTTCGTTTCATGCCTGCGTAAAACCAATACTGTCAAAAAGTGCAATATAAAATGTGCCTTGCATTGTACGAATAGATACAAAAGAACTGAAAATTTGAATGTGAAGAGTGGAAAGAAACTATTCATAGACGTTTTAGTACTAAAACAAAACGAACAAAATCAATTTGCTCTGTATGTGTAAAATACGAGATTGTATACGAGTGTAAATTGATTATTGATAGTAATAATCATTAAGAAGATAAGTCGTGGGGCAGTAGTATTTATAAATATTGCTGGTATATACATAAAAAAGTAAGAAAGTTTATAAATGGAAAATTTCATCGAGTGCCGTACCCTGGGGCATCATGCCCAGAAGGCTGGCAACATTCCCCTTTGATTGCTAAACTTATTCTTTGGTGGAAATAACTGCCAGACTTGTGGTCACCGGAGGCTTCTACGAGGCGATCCGACAGATCATTCGCTAGAAGTTTCGCCTGTGGCCTCCAGGGACTCAGGGTTTAAATCGCAAAAGGCACAAAGCTGTAGCACTGAGATTATTAGTAAGGTTTTAACATTATCCCCGTTCAAATTTTCATAAGCTATTTCTCCGTATTTAAATGGAAAGGTAAAGAGGTTGTGTGATTTTAAAATACGATAACGTTTTTTTGTTGTGCAATGGATAGAAATTTCGACTTAGGTTAAAATTATTTCGTACTAACACTTACTAATATCGAAAGCATTCTTCAACTCAGTTTGTCTTTTCCTGAAGTCTAAATAGGACTTCTCGACGGCCTCTGCTTCGATCTCTAACTTGCGTAGACGCATTTTTGCCTCGCGCAAGACTGCCGTTGGACTTTTCTCGCGAGGTATGATCGGCGCTTTTATTTCCTCTTTACTGTAAAAATAAAGTGGTTTCGAAAACTTAATGACTGATGGTAGGCTTCTGGGCCTGAATAGTAATTCTTTAGTACCATCGCCCTGCCTATGTGTACCGCAAATTAACAAAGAAAAAAGAGCTACAACCCGCCACACATTATAGTATCCTTATTTATCGCAAATCTATTGGCGGCGGGTAGCAATTTACATCAAGTGGATCATATTTTATTTAATTACTAACACACTTAACACTTCTTTGGTACATTTAGACTCGATACATACATTTTTGTTACATAACATGACAGAATAATATTGCTCCACGGAAAACACGACCATTCCTGAATGCAGCGTGTTGCCTGTGAGGCATTGTTGCATTTTTGAGATACGGATGGTCCTGCATTGTTATTTTTAGTTTCGTAGTTGTATCTATATGTGTAAAATTGTATCAGTTTGCCGGGTTATCTATATTAAGAGGACTACAAGTTTAGATATTGTTAATTTTAAATGTGTTTTTTTTTCTCATATATGTAACTGTTTGTCCCTCAATAAAAAAAGCTTCCATCCATCGATTACAGGTTTTGAAAGCTCTCTTCATAAATAAAAAAAATTACTGCGCTATATTCGGTGTACTTAACAGCTTACTTTGATAAAATAGAACTGCAGTAGAAAATGAAACTTTTTCTGATCTATATCTATATATGTTTTTTCAGAGAAACCAACGTTTCAGCCAGTCGTGACTACTCCTAGTCTCAGGTCTCTACCTGTAAAGGGACCGAAACGCTAGTTTGTTTTAAAAACAAATATACGCAATTTAGTCCCGAAAACATAACAGTTTCCTATGTGTAACAATCGCGTAAACCTAAGAACTAGATAAAACAAATAGTAGATACTAATGACCTCAGTGGTCCTCGGTTAACGATTTGGGCCTTCGAGGAGGCCCAAGGTTTGATTAACCGGTAAGATTAATTTAGAAAACTACTTTTTTAAATTGGTTCTAGTCTGTATGTTCTGGGTAGTGCTGCGGAATTATTTCGTTGCTCTGGTACTACCAAGGTATTTTCTGGTTGAAGACTAGAATAATTGTTGTTATTGCCTGGTATGTAACATTACATTACTAATTACAAAGCTACTGACACCAACAAATGTCTAGACATGTACAGACGAAATTAAAGAGAGTAGATGCGAACAATACAACTGTGGGTTCTTGAGTGCTGGTAAAAACATGGGTGTAACGATGTCGTCGTTCCGTAGAATGACAATAAAATAGTAAAACACTCCAAGTTTTGTACTCATTACTAAGATCATCGGAAATAAGGTCAGCTAATATTTGTTTCGTTAACATTGAATTATTTTTTCCTACAAAAGTACAAAAGTAATTTTTATTATAATACATATTATGTATACATTATTAGTATTCAATGTGTAGTGTTATTATTTGAAACTTTTCATTACAAGATATTGTTTGATCATTTATATTCTAAGGTTGTTTGGAACAAATGGCTACTTATCAATAAGGCCGCCTGTTGCGCGTTAGCTTATTCTGTGATACATTACTGTTGTGTGTTGTTATTGTAATTTTTTTTGACAATAAAGAATATTTGATTAATTCCATTATGTTCATACTGTTTCTATCGTTGTTTTAATTTTTGTTACCGAAATGCTCAACAGGTGGTGCTCAGTAAACTACTTAGACTATAAGAAGCTCATGAAATATTTTGTAACACCACTTGCAGGCACAATATAGTACTGTATAGTTAAGAGCTGCTGTTAAACTGTCAAAAGAATGTTTTATGTCCTATCGCCTCGTGGTGACTGCTGTTGCTGCTGCTACCTACGGCCCTTTAGGGACAATTCCCTCCACACTCATAGTGTCCGTCGATCCAGAGAAGTCCTCAACATCCAAAACGCAAACACTAGACAACTTGACCCACATCAACCTTCGATATTTCACCTATACTTCTAGAATTACTATAATTACTGAAACAAACTCACGTTTTTAGTTTCAATTTTGCTTCGCGCAAGACAGACTTGGGACTTTTGTCTCTGTAACACATGCTTTTATTTAGCTATACAGATTTCGTCCTAAATGGTCTTATAATAAAATTTACTTTCATACACTAATAAGGTACTATAAGAACCCAAATATATCTAGTTTCTGAGCACGAGTCTAGTTTTAAAGACAAGGCATTAACCCTTAATTGAGGCTATTAGCGCAAAAATAGTGTAACCCACATTTGTTTTCTACAATATTATTTTAAATGATACTAAAATACATAATTATTTTATATTTGGATGCTATCTTCGTGCATAAAAGAAAATTAATGATTAAATATTTTTTATACATGGAAATAACATCCAAATATAAAATAATTAGTACTTTAGTATCATTTAAATATTGTAGAAAAAAAAATAAATGCGGAGTTACACTACTTTTGCGCTGATAGCCTCAATTTGCAAAGCAGCTCCAAAGCGGATTTAGTATGCTAAATTTTTATAACCTGCAGGCCTCGCGACGACATTTTCCTTTATCGTTATAGCAACTGATACATTATTGCTAAATTTATTAGTGCATGACACTAGAAGAGAACGTAAGAGAAGCAAGCCATAAAGCTAGATAAAGTCTGTTTTCTTTTTGTTCTGTTTGAAGACGGAATAAAATGACAATTGTAAGGTTGCCGTTTTCATAAAATTTTAAATAGTCATGTAGTTATTGTCGACAGTTTTATCGATAAATTGTGAAAGACGGCAAAATTTTGCTAAAAATGTCGGAATTATGAATGTTATTACAACGACGACATTCTAATGATAACAAATTGCGTTATTTGCCTTCTTATATTTAGTTGGCCTACTAGTATTGAAATCAATGTTTATAAATACATTTTAACAAGAACAGGCGAATTGATTATCTATATTGAATTAAAATGCCAAACTTTAAAATATGTTTCATATTTGTATTTTTAACCGACGTCAAAAAAGGAGGTCCTCAATTCATCTTTTTTTGTATGTATGTTACGCGATAACTCATTTGTATACCGATTTTGATGATACTTTTTTGTTGGAAAAAGGGTACCTCAGTAGTGGTCCCAATTAAATTTGAAAATAGTACACCTCTAAGGGTAACCAACTTTTTTTTTATAATATCAAGGGACGGAACGAACAAATCGTGCGCCTGATGGCAAGCTACACGCCTGTCCATGACAGCTGCAGCAGCAGAGCCACTATGAGCTTTAAATTGCAAAGATCTGAGGGGTACTGCCTTTACGCCCGTCATTCTGAGACATGAGTTGACAAGTCCCATGTGCCTGTAATTTCACCCCCACCCTTACCCTTCAAAATCGGAACACAGCAATGCTGACATTACTGCTTGGCGGCAGAAAAAAAACTAGGGGATCATCAATGTAGGGGATTAATGATTTTTGAGGTCGGTTTTTTTAGTACTCAGTACTGAGTTTATTAATAGACAGTTCTAAATATTATGGTGTATGTATGTATGTATGAATTTACAAAAATTGACAATTAAAAAGAACCTGTGTCCAGCAGTTGGAAGAGTATCTAACACTCAGTTGATAATCGATAGAACATTTATCGACTGCAATCACTAGCTTTTTTTATGATACTAAGTAATGGGACGAACAAGTCGTGCACCTGTTGGTAAGCGACACGTTTGTCCATACCCTTCAAGACCGAAACACAATAATGCTTACATTACTGCTTGGCGGCAGAAATAGGTAAGGTGGCAGTACTTCCCTGGACTAACTCTTTCACAAGGAGTTCTACTGCTATAAGCTGCTTGCGAGCGAGCAACATTTTTACGCAATGAATTGTCATTTTATTCCATCTTCAAAAAGACAGACTATAAAAACTAAATAAATCATTAAGATGAAATTGCAAGTTAGGTTCTTTAGAGACAAAGGGACCGCTAACTAGAAAATAAATAACAAATACATATCTCACCTCTCATGTACATTGCAGGAGACAGAGGGTATTTCATTTTGGTCGCTGTTGGGTGTCTCGTGCTTGCTAGAGTTAGTTGTGGTCTCTGCGGAATATTAGAAAAGAAGTGCGAGTGAACAAACTTTCATAAATTCTTATAGGTGGCAGCCGTAAGCCATTTAAATCTAATGCAATGAAGAAAAGATGTCTTAACAGGTACATAACAAATTCGTAAAAGAGCAGTAGTAGGTGAGACAACAGACGCCAGTTCGAGTCCTGTTAGATCGAAGGAATTTTTCTTGGCGTTGGTTCGGCCTTTGTATTTTTCTTATAATATCAAATGACGGGACGAACAAGTCGTGCGTCTGATGGTAAGCCGCACGCCTGTCCATAACAGTTGCAGTGCCACTCAGTGATTTAAATCGCAAAGATCTGAGGGGCACTGCCACTGCGCCCATCACCCTGAGACATAAGTTGAAAAGTCCTTGAACTCATGCAACCCTTATTTTTATAATATCAAGTGACGGGATGAACAAGTCTGGCGCCTGATAGTAAGCTACACGCCTGTCCATAACAGTTGCAGTGCCACTCAGAGCTATAAATTGCAAAGAGGGGTATTGCCACTGCGTGTGACAAGTCCCATGTGCCTTAAATTTCACCAGCCCCCATATCCTTCAAAACCGGACAGTTAATGCTGACATTACTGATTGTCAGTAGAAGTAGATAAGATAGCAGTACTTCCTTGAACGAACTCTTTCACAAGGACCTCTACTGCTACTAACTTTGAAAATATCCATTAAAATAAACTGTACCTCAACCGCGCTTACCACGCAGCGCCCTCTGGCGGAGAAAGCCGCTTAGCCTGGTCGCAATAGTGGTCCATAACCGCCAATTCATGTTGAAATTTATGTTTTAATTGACAACACGTATTTTGGCGAGCCCTGTCTACATCATATATGCAACCAATAATATACATATATCCAACGTGGTATTCAGGGACCTCTAAGAAGAATGCACCATCACATATTTTATAGTTCAATATCTTTTAGTGAGTTGTATGTCGAAGCCGTTAAAGAAATATTTAAGGAAAAATTTACCAGATTCCGGTTGCGGAGACTTGTGCCGTGTGGGAGGGGTGGTGTGGGCTCTGGGGGATGAACCGCCGCCGACCCTATGCCCATGCGGCGAATGCACGCGCCGCGCCTTGCGGTACGTGGGTAATGAATGCCTAAGCAAAGGGTTCAATTGAAAATTATAGCCTTTAGGTTAATAATCAAATACTGTTACAATAAAGTTACTTTCTTTAACAATTTTGATATTGATTACTAATAATAATAATAAGGGCAATCAATGCTTATGATAGCTACAGATATATACCTAAACAGACACCGCAGGTGTACTTACTTCGCGTGCGCGTCGGCGTCTTCGATTTAATCAATTGCTTTAGTGCCTAAGGTTTCTCCGAGTTAAATAGCGCTTGTGCCGATATCGGAGGTACAAAAAAATGTGGCACGCTTGGTTTTCATATATATCGCGGTACTTGTGGTGTACATTTATATATATGATTGTTGTGTGAACGCCTTTTTTATGGGTACGCAAACTGACCGCTTAGCATTGGCGTCGTGGCGGTCCGTGAGCACACCGATGAATGGCAGCACGTCTCCCGGGACCAGGATCCTCTGAGGCGCGGGGAACCAGCTCAGGTCCTCGCCCGCGCCCTTGCGCCAGCCCATGGACGAGGCACTTGCGATCGGGTTCACTCTACACGTATTTCAACCAAATGATAATTGCGATCAAAGTAGAAAGTTCCCTGTCATACTTTCACCATTCAGAACCATAATAAAAAATTTGTATTCTTAATTAGTCTTATAAGGAACTGAACCTGACTTATTTTGACATCAGCGCCACCTGTGAGAAACTTATAAAAGTTTCTTCACTTTGTTTTTTTTTCTGTTTCACATTCTGTCCTTAGGTCTTTATTATGTACTTTAATAGCATTACAGCTCCTTGTGAAAGAGTTCGTCCAGGGAAGTACAGCCACCTTACCTATTTCTGCCGTCAAGCAGTAATGTGAGCATTATTGTGTTTCAGTTTTGAAGGGTAGAGGTGGGTACTGGTAAAATGGTGAAATTACAGGCACACGAGACTTATCAACTTATGTCTCAGGGTGACGGGCGCAGTGGAGATAAAATCTTTGCAATTTAAAGTTCTGTGTGGCTTACCACCAGGCGTACGACTTGGTCATCCCGCCGTTAACATTAAAATATTTATACCACTGCATAACCATATGCTTAATTAAGTTTCTAGCGTAATACGATTGGTTCAACACTTTCTGAGTATGAGAGCACAGCTCCTATGGCGGTTAAGATACAGTACAGTATATATCAGTATTTCCCTACCTGGGACCCACAGCCCCGAGTGGGGCAATCCGGTTATTAAGCAGTGCAATTCGAAAATCGACTCGTCCAGATTTAAGAAATATGTATGTGAGAATTTTACAAAATGCTTAGCTGGAGCATCGAACAAAAAACGGTTGCGGTACACTGGTATATACTGTAATTAATATGAACATACTCGAGCACGTGCGTGTTGGAGACGGGTAGCGCGGCGGGGGCAGTACGCGGCCGCAGTTGCTGTTGTAAAGGTCTCATGACCCCCATTGGTCTCATTGCTTCCGGTGGCCTCGTCGGTCCCATTAGTCCTATTGGCCTCATTGGTCCCATTGGTTCCACTTTAGGTTTAGGGGAACCCAACGGTACCGTCACTGACCGCATGGATAGCAGCTGCGCCGCCAGGCGTGCCTGCTGCGACGTCAGCGAGTTGATTTGTTCCTCTTGCTGAAACAATTCCAAACCGTGACAAGAAACGTGACCTGGACCTATAAAGAACCCGAAACGTTGGTTAGTATGAAAACTAGAATATACACGATTTAGATCCGAAAAAATGTTTAATTTCCATTTCGTAACCGTTTATTCTTTTGAAATAGCAGTGCCTAAGCCTTATGGTTTGACCTACCGCCTCTCAAGCAGATGGTCATGGGTTCGAATCCGGGCTTGCACCTCTGAGTTTTCGGAATTTATATGCGAACTTTAATTTGAAATATACCATTAGCTTTTCGGTGACGGAAAACGTCGTGAGGAAAGCTGCACACAACTGCAAAATAATTTGGACGTAATTAAGCAAAAAGGACCCAATCCACAAAATGATTAAATAATGAGTTACATGTTCCAAACGGTTCCTAAAGTCTAACATAAATAAATATCTCTGGAGTTACATGACATTATAAGTTTTGAGAATAAAACAAGTGTGAGAAACACTTATAAACTTCAAACTGCCATATCTCGAAAATAACTGGATGTGCATTGGATCCTTTTTGCTTAACTACGTCCCTTTAATGGTGTGTGTGAAGTTCGCAAGCCGCCTTGGGCTCGCGTAGAAATTACAACCCAAGCCTTCCTATTGCGGGAGGCCTGTGCCCAGTGTTGGGACTATGTAGACTATTATGTCATAATTATTCTCTTACAAAGAAATGTAGATATATCGTTATATTTTTATAAACACCGGTAGTTAATATCATATCCAACAAAACAGTCTAACAGTTGGACATGGTCTCCATTAAAGAACATTTTTCATAATCACCTTATTAGGCAAGACAGTTAACAATCGCAGTTATGTTGTAATCGAATCACCTACGGCTGTACAATCCTTTTGAACTCTGTACGTGATATCTTTACTACATACTAATAATTTATTAAAAAAAAAAGTATATTATTAACCAACAGTAAATAAACAACTTTATGAAAACATGTAATGAGATAAACCTTGATAGACTTGTGCGCTGTAGTCGGTGTGGTTTTTGTTTTAATGAAGTACTACGTTCTTTGTTCTTAACATCGAGTATATAACGTTCTTTATTATTATTATTATAAACATAACAGAATTTACATGTATACTATAATTGTACAATTTTTGTAACTATATTGTCGCTATGTACAATAATTAATTTTATGGTTAATTATGTAACGTACGAGAAGTATGGCTGGAGTGGAGTGACTCGGATGTATAAATTACGGAACAGAGTGATAAGAGAGCGTTGCGGCGTGGAAGAAGATATAGGGACAAAGATAGAGAAAGGGATGTTAAGGTGGTTCGGACATGTAGAGAGAATGAATGAAAGAAGATTGACGAAACAGATTTATAAGGCGAGGGTGAGCGGGCAAGTTGATATGGGCCGACTAAGGCGAACTTACCATGACCAAATTGAGGCCATCCTAAAGAAGGGCCAGGTCAAGAGTACCCTTAACCGACGAGCGTGTATGAAAGCATTGATGCGTGTTGATGAGGCGAAAGATATGTGTCAGGATCGTAGCAAGTGGAAGACTGTTGTCTCTGTCTACCCCGATGGGAAAAGGCGTGAAGTATATTTATGCATGTATGTAACGTACAAACTAGATACGAGCCAAAATTTTTCGCAGAATGCGCGAGAATTCCGCGGAAGATTTTGGCTCATATCTAGGACGTACGTTACACAATCGTGCATAAAGTTCATAATGCTATGTACAATATCGTTACAAAAATTCGCTTCCATTCCGTTACACCGCAATGTAAAGAGCCTTAGTTATAGTTATAAAGTAATCGAAAGTTACGTAGTTAAGTTAACAAACACTGTTAATTTAGTTGTAGGGTAGATACAATGATTGCATTCAATTCTACCTGCTCTGAACCGACCAACACGTCAAGAGAAGAGATTGCGAACTGTCTGTATTAAAATCTAAAAATAACAATTTACAAAAAATCTTAATTTACTATATTTCAATACAATATTTATGAACAATTAAAATGAATTATCCTCCTGTCCACGTACATTTTATTAATACGAGATTTAAATTAATATCGTTTATTTTTTCATGATTGTTTTTTTACCTGCTAAAGTACAACTTGAAGCATAAAAAGCGTCGAAAATTAATATAAATTTATTTAAAAAAATGTGTGCCACGTCGAATTCACGGCGACCACGCCGCCGCGCGCCGCTGCCGGTAGAAAAACCATAAGAACCTACGCACACGGCATATTTTATACGCCTCGACGACGCGCGTATACGCGCAGACGATGCGCATATAAGCGTCGTAAACGCACGTCGTCTGCGCATATACGCGCCGCAGACGGCCTGTAACTGCGTGTATATATCACGCATTTTGATAAGAGATAGTTTTAATCTTAGTTTTGTTTGTTAATTTAAGTTAATTCTTAAAATAATAATAATAACGTGTGTCGCGGGTGCCATGGACACACACATAGACAACTATAAATTCCACCCAAATTCACAAGAGAATAAATGTAGGCTATACAAACATTTCTCCCGGCCCGGTAAACGAACCTGGGAACTCTGCGTTGCAGTCGCATGGTAACCACAGAGGCAGTTGAAATGAAGCAACTACATGAAATTCTATATAAGTCTCTTGTTTACAACGCGATATTTATACGCGTTTGAATCGATTCATTACGCATGACGCGCGCATACGCGGTGCTGACACATGTATACGCGTGTTTACGGCGTGTATAAAATACGTCGTGTGGAAAGGCTCTACGACGCCGATTGCACGATCGGCGTACATTCTAATTTTGACAATAAAGAATTACTGGAATACCTGTCTCGCTTGGCACTTGAGTCGTTCGTTCTCTTCTAAGAGCTTTTTCAAGGTGCTGACCTCGAGCGGCATTTCAGTGGGCGGGCTGTGGCTGCGACTGCGACTCGTGGCATTGCCCGGGCAACGAATTGAGGCATTTTCTGGACTGCGGGATCTGCCTTTATCCGGACTTTGTATAGTAATATCACCTGCTACGCTGGCCAGCGACTGACGCCTGTGTTCATTGCACATTTCTCCAACTTTCAAATGCAATTGCTGAAAATGGTATGTTATGTTTTAATGTACAGGGTGTAACAGAAAGTTGTAATCGCATTTTAGAACGTGAAAATGTACGTAATATTGAACATCTTCTGACAGAAATAAATAAATCTCAAATGAAACAAGCATTATTTTAAGTCATTGAATCATTTCATTTACTTTTAAAAATAATGTCTCCATAAAGAAAGATATCCTGTGTACTATATTTTAAGTACTTTCCCTCTGTATCCCACGGCCGTGAGTCGTCCTGTTATAATATAGTGGCAACGATAAACTTGTTTTAATTCCAACATAATTTTTATTTCTGTTACAATTGTTCAACTTTAAAGGCACTTTCTAGACATGAAACTCATATCCGGTATCCGGCCTAATTTTGCTTATCTATATCTATTATTATAAATATTTATAGATTCAGGTTTAAGTATTTATACTGTATTAGCATAACGTTTAGGTTCATTTTTAAGTCATGATCGTAAAAAAGTCGCGTCGTGTCGTCCAATGTGAAAACGCCCTTTCTTTGAAATGTTTCAACATTTTTATTTCCGAACAACTTACACCGTTTTGAGACGCAAGTCATAGTGATGTAAATTCTGCGTGAAATTATTCTCAGAAAGAAGTGACGCCTATAAAGTAATTTCTATTAACTATCACTACAACCACACTACTTGTACTATTACAGCTCATTTTATTTACTTCTACTACTTTAGATACGCCAATACTACGAACAAATTCAACATGAACACAATCATGTGCCTTACGAGTCTGGCTCGGGCCTTTAGTATTTCTTTCTCTTCCAACGTTTTCGAGACAATAGCTTCGCATTGCCTATGGGGGGACAGATTGCAGCTTTGGACCCGGTTGTGGCCTGGATTTTGGATCTGATTGTGGCCTGTATGTGAGGCCACACTTTGATGCGCAACGCAGACTCCCGCCGTGTCATTTGCTGTCGGTGATCGGTAGCGTCGGTCCTCTAATATACCGCCCACTTTTATTTGTACCTAGCGAAGTCAAGATTAACTTGCAAATCATTACCATTTTTAGATTTAGTCGATTTAAATCCCACCAATGTTAGATAGAAGACGATATTATTTTTCTTACAATACTTAATTGCCTTTCCACAATATTAACAATGTGTTACATAATATAATACAGAGAGCAATTATGGCCCCTGTTGGGCACAGCAAATGAGGGGGAGGCATTTTTAGTAATTCAGAAATTATTTTATTATAGAAGTATTTGTAGGTGAGAGGTACAGATCATCATATCCATATATAGGAATTTCGATGCTTTTTATCAAACATTGGTTAAGAGTACTAAAAATCACGCAATGCTAAAAGACATTAAGTCCTATGTTGTTTGTTTTTTATTTAAAATATTCTATCTAGTGTAGTGCATCAGCTGGTGCAGCGGCTGAGTCCGCTGCTCGCAAGACCCGAGATAAATATTGAGATTTCTGCCATCCGCTAAGTAAAACGCGGCTACCGACAAAATATTTTTTTGAGATATCATAAAAAGTCATAACCCAGTTTTAGAATATTGAAATTGTTTAATAATATTTCAGCTATGCATCGTAAGGGTAGGTTCCGATATGTCGAACATGTTAACTAATTTGAACTATATTCAAAAGAGAATTTTGTGCTCTATTTTTTGCAATTTATAACGGATATTTGACCATTTGTCACTTAGCCGTTTTTATTTAGTGGACGGCAGATTTGGAAAGTAGCTACATTTTTCGCTTGCTGTTCTGATTGCGGGTTGTTGGGGTAGCGGGTGCGAAAAGGTTTGTAGCGGAAATCGGGCGACGACTAAGAGTGAGTCAAGATGACTTCCGTATCGGATTGTTCTCGGCGAAAAGATTGTCCATTGCCATACAGCGAGGAAATGCGTCAAGCGTCAGGTCCGATTTGTGTTAGATAGCACTGAAACATGTTAGTGTAACATAATGAATAATAGTGTTTTTGTAGTTTCTTAATTGTTATTATGTATATATATATACATATATATAATTGTCCCTGAGGCCGAACGGTTACCATGCCGGACTGCCACGCAGAGGTCCAGGTTCCATTCTCGGGTCGGGAGAAATATTTGTATGACCTACATTTATTTCTCTCGTGAGTTTGGGTGTAATTTATGGTTGTCTATGTGTGTGTCCATGGCACCCGCGACACAGGGTTTCCCTAGTGCGGGGATATGTTGAACGTGTGCGTTATTATAAAAAAAATATTGTATGGAGATCGCACTTTATTAGGAAAAGTATACAATTAATAATTTTACTCACTTGTCGAAGTCTCTGCTTGCGGCGGACACAGTCCCTCGTCGACTTGACAACAGTTAGTGGGCTGGGGGATCGACTGCGACTCGAGCCGCGGGTGGAACTATGGCCCGGACTGTGTGCCGGACTGTGGCCCGGACTATGGGCTGGTTTGTGGACCGAACTGCGGTCCGGGCTGTGATGTGGACTCTTTTGAATGGGATCTGCACTACGGCCAGGGCTTGCGGCGAAGTCACCTGCCTCGCTCAGAGACGGCGACCGGGCGCGATGATCCTCGCCGATTTTTATACGTAGCTGTTGATGATAATTAATAGGCTCATTTACATTTCGATACCTCCAATGAACACTACACCAACTTTATTTTTAGGTCCTTTTCTGTTATTTTTGTAAACAGCCATATTTATGTACTAATATTATACTCCTCGAATTTTGTAAAAAAATAAAAAATAAACAAACAACAAATTCGAAAAAAACTAAAAATAAATTTTGTAAAAAATAAATAAATGAAAAACAAAATAAAAATTAAGAATCCAAGAATTAAGTTGGCGTAGTGTTCATGGGATGTATCGATTTTCAGATACGAAATCACTACCAAACATGAATATCGGAGTAGCCGACTTAGTTAAGCATTGAATAGAATAGAATAGAATAGAATAGAATAAAATAGAATAGACATTTATTGCAACGCCATAACACAGATACAAAAAAAATTATAACACAAACAAGGAAAACAAAATTAAAGAAATAAAATTAATTAATAAACAAAAAAGAAAAATACAGCAAAAAAAAACATTAAGTAAAACAAATCTGACAAAAAAGAAATTATAATGACTACAAATTTTGTACTGTCATTTGTGTGCTTGAGACGTACGTAAAAGGACTTCAGCGTAAGCCACAGTCATAATTAAATGCAGCGCTGGTTTTCAATGAGCCCTGAGCCGAGATGAGTGACAGACGTGTGTGTCGCGAAAGGACTTAAAATAAACTATTTAAATACACACATCAAAAGTGTCTAGAGATCAAGTACGTTTAAGAGTATTGCTGCAATTAGGGTTAATTATATTAACTTTTTCGTATCGCTATTGATACTTTTTATTGAGTTTTAACATTTAAATAAGGAATATTGTTTAAAATTCGATAATAAGAAGAAAATCGATTGTACATTGACAATCGATTTTCTTACATAAATCGGTTTTGTATAAAAATGAGTTATAGCGTTTTGACAAAATCATTACAATATCTGCATCGGAACCGAAACAATTTACATTATTATGGAGAGACGACATCATTTAACCCGAGAAGTGATGATGCGAGCCGTCGGAATGTTGGAAGCTGGTTCCAGGCAACGTGCTGTGGCTTTCACTCTTAACACTACACAGAGCGTCATAAGTCGCCTCTGGACGCGCTATCGCATGACGGGCAGCGTGGCCGAGCGACATGGAGGACGATCTCGCATCACGACTCGCAGACAGGACCGGTATATCCAAAATACTGCTCGACGGAATCGTACCATGACCGCCATGATGTTGGTTACGAGGCTCCACAGCTCCTCAGGCTTGCTAATAAGCGATCAAACAATCCGAAATCGTTTACGTGAAGTGGGTCTGCGATCCCGAAGGCCGCTCAGAGTTCCACCTATTGCACCCTGCAATCGCAGGACCCGTTTACGATGGTCTCGCGAACACAGAAACTGGGAGGAAGAATACTGGCGCTATGTGTGCTTTTCGGATGAATCCCGCTTCGGTATGAGACCGGATACAAGACGTACTCGAGTTTGGAGAATATCTGGACGTCATGAACGTTTGAGATATTGTCAGGAAGTTCATCCATATGGTGGGGGAACAATAATGATATGGGCCGGTATTTGGATCGGCGGAAGAACCGATCTCATTTGGATCAGGGGTAACCTCAATGCTCAAGTTTACGCAGAGAGGATTGTTTCAGATGTTATCATCCCTTTGCGAGGCTAGTTGGGTGATTCATTTCAACTAATGCATGACAACGCACGTCCACACACGGCTAGAGTCGTAACACCCATTCTTGCCGAAGCTCGTATCAACGTTCTGCCGTGGCCTGCTCAATCGCCAGACCTCAATCCAACTGAGCACGCATGGGATATGCTTCAAAGAAGAGCTGTGCCGAGTATGCATACCGTACATACTCTACAACAATATTTCGACTTGTTACAAAACACATGGGCGGCCATTCCTCAAAGTGATTTTGATGAACTCATCTTAAGCATGCCAAATCGCTGTAATTGTGTGATTCGTGTTAATGGTGGAAATACAGATTATTAATTTTCTTATCTTTACAATAAAAATGAGCAAAATCATCATTTTCGCCATTTTTTTGTCATTTAATTGACGCCGTTAATTTGAGTTTTTTCCCACAATTTGCAAAAACATCAATTTTAGTTTATTTTAATTAAATATAGGGGTAAGCGGTTAAATAAAACATAAGCATTAAAGTAAGAAGTCGTCCTGGAAGACTGGATTTGCTAAATATTGCTTAAATAATTTTTATTTCAAAAATATTCACTTGATCCCTAGACACTTTTGATGTGTGTATGTGTGTATGTGTTCTTTGTACATTGTGTTACTGCTGTATGTTATATTAAAGATCGTAAAAGTACATAAATATAGCAAAAAAAATAAATATACCTAGTGTGTGCGTTTATAGTGTTTACGTAACAATTAAAATTATTATGCATTATACAACTCGACCGCTCCCAGTCAAGTAACTTGTATACATATATACATCACATATAATTTTTAGTTTATACACTTTCTACCATAATTAGCCTTAGGAATGATAAAATAGGCAATAATTTACTTTTTGAATCAAATTACTGTCGTAAGAATTATCGACCTCAGTACCTTTGAACGCTGTTTTCTGCGGATAAAGGCCTATTAAGGACTACTTTTTTGTAATCATATGAAAGTTTAGAGTCTAGCGCAGTTTTTAAAGTTACCCAGGAACTACGGAATTTCGGGTTTAGATTTTTATTTTAAGGTTGAAAATTTACATCCGACTCGCTCGAATGCTAATTTTCCACGTTGAGTCAAAACTTTCGTAGCTTCCATTGATGTTACGGAGCCTATAAAGATTCAGTTACAAAAAAAAAACCCAAAAAATTGTAGTACAAAAAGAAAAAAAAAATGTTGAGCCGATCCGGTTAACAATTTCAAAAAATCCATTAAAAATCATAACTCGAAAACTACGATAAATCGCGAAACATACATGGGGGTGATTCGGATAACCCTCAATGTGAGGCACTTCAATTATTTTTTTTTTGGTCGTCACTATCCCTGCCGTCCTGTATATACGATACGCTAGATGCATGTATTTGTATTCCTGAAAATTTCGCGGAAGAAGAGCGAGTTGTTGTTTGTTTCGTATATAGTTTGTACGTTACACCAATTGACATAAAGTTCATTATGCTATGATTACAAAAATTAGCTTCGATTCGATTTCGAAACAATGTAAATGTTGTTCTTTTGTGACTTATCAGCTACCCATAGTACTGGAGATCCTAGTTTGAGAGCTAGGCACATCTCTGTACCTATTTCTCTTTATTTTGCAATAAAGTTATTTTTGTTTTATTTCTTTTTTTGTGAAGTATCTGACCCTGAAAAGGATGAACATTTAGGCAACAATTTTTTTGCCATGCCAAATTGCCAAGCACTCGATGTAGCGATCAAAGTTGAGGTTGGGTGACAAATCCTAAATAAGTAATAATTAAAATGTGACAGGCAACTACACCAATTACCTGGTCTCAAACTTTTGGTGATTTCCTAGCAGGAAATTTCCTATACTATGAATACCAGAGCAATGCAAACCTTAAAACCTTACCTGATCGAAATTAACATTTTTCTGTTTCTTAAAATCATTGACGACCTGGTTAGGAGGTTTTACGTCCTCCCTCAAGTGACGTTCCTCTTGTTCATTATTCAAAATGCTCTTCGATGAAGTATCACTTTGGTCGGTCGCAGTACTCCTTTCTATCATAGACTTTATAGGTTTATACGCTTGTATGTACCTCTTTAGTTTAGAAATCTCATTGTTCAACACATCGTATCTTGATTTCAAATCCTTAAGGTCTTCATTACAGATTTTTTCATTATTGCCAATATTTTTTTCATTGTAATCGTGGATTTTTTTGGTGTTGTCGTGAATTTTTTCCTCCAAATTGTGGATTTTTATAACAGTATTGTCCGCGTATAGTTTCTTCATCTCTTCGAGCTCAATTCGTTCCTTGTGCAAATGGCTTCGTTCTCTTTTCAGGTTGTCGACGTGAGCTTCAAGTTCGAGCATTTCGCGCGATATTTTGAGATGTAAGTCGTCGTCGCGTTTGTGGAGAATCTCTTCTGCTTCTCCTATTTGGCGTTTCAAAATATGTTCCTATAAAAAAAAATGGCATTAGTGTTGCGAAGTCGTTAAGTACTTATGTCATTAACCGCACTAGTATTTTTTTTATAATATCGAGTGACGGAACGAGTAAGTCGTGCGCCTATAAGTTGACAAGTCCCATGTGCCTGTAGTTTCACCAGCACCCTTAGGCTCAACTCACACTGGCGCAGAGTCGAAGCGTCGCGACGCGTCATGTTTTTCGCCTATAGAATATTCATCTCTATTTTCTCATTTTAAGGTACAAATTTGAGTTATGCAATTATGGAAACATAAACGTGCTTAGCGCGTTGGCGCTTTACTTGGGCACAGAGAGGCGTCAGACGCTGACCACACAGTGATCCGGGCGCACTAATGCGACGTGTGAAATGTCGACTCGCGTCGCCAGGCGTTGTAGTTGAAAAACAGGACGCGACGCGACGCGACGCGACGCGACGCTTCGACTCTGCGCCGGTGTAAGTTGAGCCTTACAGTGTTTGTGCACTACTTGAGAAATTACGGTCTAAAATATTACAGGTATCATTTTATCTCTAGGTGTATATGCGATATTATTATTTTCTCGGATTCAAAGCGACTAAGTCCGATTTGAATGTGAAAAAATCGGCACAAGCCACATCCGAAGTGCGTCCGAATTTTCTAGATGTGTATAGTCTCGGATTCGGAACCAATATGAATCGGATGTAGCGCGCAAACGCGCTTACCCTTCCAAAACTGGAACGCAGCAGCAGCAGCAGCAATATGAGTATTACTGAATGCTCACATTACTGCTTGGCGGTAGAAAAAGGCATGGTGGCAGTACTTCCCTGGACGAACTCTTTCACAGGGAGCTCTGTTGCTACTTAAGTTCACAAAAGAGTGAATGAATGAAATATTCTTTTCAAGCAAATAATAAATTGCAAAATAAAATAAAACCTTCGGGCCTTTTTTCTTCCCATTACAGCCATGGTCGGTACGGAGTTTTATAGTAAATTTTTAGTATAACATATAAAAAAAAATTAATTAAAAATTAAAACATTCGCTTTTAAATGTCAGCTAAACAGAAATTTAATTGCATTTCAGCCACGTACTACTTGAATATTTATTATTAAGAATTTCTTATAATTGATTTTAATTATTTTCTGTATAAAATTTAGCATATTTTTTACAGTCCATCATGGCTACATGCGGCTTTGATTTCTATAACATTTTAGTACGAATTGCATTATCTATGAAAGAATAACTAGCTGGCCATCTATAGATAAAAATAAACAAAAACCCGCCACTTGCAAAATCCATAATATTGTTGTGTTGAGAACTATATTAATTCATACAAGAAATAAAGTTTGTGGTTGTGTCTTGGCAAATGTGATGAAAAACATTGTATGATCACGGAGGTGAAAAATACAAAATTCAAGTTATTAAAGCCCTCAGCCTTCGGCGTCGGGCTTCTAACAGACCCCCGTTAGTAATTTCTTATTGATCGTCCTTATTACACAATAGATTATTATTGCACATTAAAAATTACAATGGCGACACAGAACAGTAACATAAGTATCACAGAGTAAGCTAATGTACAACAGGCGGCTTTATTGCTTTGAGAGATTGACAGCCTTTAGATCAATCAATCATTGTATTTATTCGTCATCATAGGTCATAGCATAACATGATGGGGTGTACAGACTTATTTAACACAGCTGTGATGCACCTCTGCCTCTGTAGCATACGAAAATGAAAATTTCCAATCGAATTAAGTTATAAAATATTAAATTTCATTTCAACGTCAATTAATAATTTTATTTGACATCAGAAGAAAATTTAGATATTACACATGTCTTCCTAGTTGATTTTACGGGGAACGAACCCACCTGTAACCAGAGACACATGGGACTTGTCAACTTATGTCTCAGGATGAAGGGCGCAATGGAAATGTCCTTCAGATCTTTGTAATTTAAAGCTCTGAGTGGCGTGTAGCTTAACATCAGGCTCACGACTTGTTCGTCCCGTCACACACGGCATCATAAAAACTATATTCGCCAATTCGAAGCCTGTTTCATAGGAAAAAAACATTTGAATTGAAGACTCAATTTTGTATACCAATTTAAAATGGATACGCACTTAAAACCTTTTTGAAATATACAGTAGAGACCTGCTCTTCGATTGGCCGCGTAAAAAAAACAATTCCTCTTCTTGTCCAATACATAATTCACCACCGCAATTTTAAAATAAATTTTGTGTGTCGCATTGTAATCCATAGTCATCATAAGTGTCGCGCGGATAGTACCATCAGGTGAGTGGATCTCTACTGTTTTTAAAATACGCTTTGGATCCAGCTCCTGTATTAGCCGTACACATCATACGCAAAGTATTTTTGCAACTTATACAGCCTACCACCAAGTTGATAGCTACTAACAACGTCCGAACGTGGGTTCCAGCGTCACAAGTCAGTGTCAACAAATTTAGTTTCCTTTGTACAAACCGTTGCTGAAAAAATGGACAAGAGAATTCAAGTAGATGCCATATATACGGATTTTAGTAGCGCATTTGATAAGGTAAACCACAAGTTACTATTACGAAAATTAGCAATTTTCGGAATAGGCGGTTCATTGCACTCATGGTTGGGGTCATACTTGGAGAATCGTCTACAGACTGTTGTCACGAACGGTTTTTCTTCAAAACCATATGTGGCAACATCTGGAGTTCCACAGGGCTCGCATCTCGGCCCGATCCTATTTCTTATTTTTATAAACGACATCACTGACCACATACACCACAGTGACAATTATCTATTTGCTGACGATATGAAATTAATTAAACCCATTCGCTCCACGGAAGATGTACAAATGTTGCAGGATGATCTTAATCGTGTGAAACTTTGGTGCGACAAAAACTATATGCAACTAAATGTCAGTAAATGTAATCACATAAAATTCACCAAAAATAAAAATTTTGTTAGATCTTCTTACTATATTGATGGTCAAGTGGTAGCAGAGGTAAACCAGGTGCGGGATTTAGGCGTCACTCTGGACAAAAAGCTGAGTTATGTGGCTCATTATGAACACATTACAGCGCAGGCCTTTAAAATGTTGGGTTTCATAAAAAAAAATTCAAAGTGCTTCAAAAATATCAAGACATTAATCTCCTTATACAACTCCCTTGTTCGTAGTGGCATTGAGTTTGCAAGCGTCGTATGGAACCCCACTTACCAGGTGCACATTGATTACATCGAACGCGTACAAAAAGTATTTACACGGTATCTAGCTTTTAGGGCCCCTAGCTTTAGTCACAAAAATGAATACCAGCAACGATTGAAACACTTCAATCTTGATTCACTGTTGAATCGAAGAGGCATAAATGACCAGGTTTTCCTCTACAAGTTGCTGCGGGGGTGTATGGATTGTCCGGAAGTATTATCGAGAATCGCACGTACTGTTCCGCGTCCCAACTCAAGAAGGCAACTTAGCAATCCTTTTCATGTGCCCTTTTCCAGGACAAATTTAATGAGCCATTCCCCAGTGTCCAGAATGCTTTCCAACTACAATATCCTGAATAGTCGCGCAAACCTGGATATATATTTTGACAGTTTATCCCGTCATAAAGACAAAGTAGTAGCGGCCTACTCATCAGATATTGACAATTAAATTTCAGTGCTCTAAAATTACAAATTGTTATCTATAAAATCTTAAAGAATATATTTTTTAAATTGCATATAAATAATTATTACATGTATATTTTTAATAGAATAATTTATTAATAGTTCATTTTATTTTTTTAAATTGTGGTAATGTTTTTCTTTCTTTTTAAATGATGTTTTAATATGATTATGTGAATGATGTGTTCGGCTGTAATTGGCTTACAGACTAGTCTTACATAAATATAAAATGTAGATTTAAAAATGTTAAGTGTGTTAAGCTGTTGCTGAACCAATAAATAAATAAATAAATAAATAAATAAACAACGAGAATATAATCAGAAATTGAGACGAAATATCATTTAATTTGTTTGAAAACTATTCTTCCAAATCATTATGGTAACAACTGCGCTTCAGCCCGAATTCGAAACAATTGACGGGTGGCGTCAATTGTTTCACTTCAAATTTTGACGGGTGGCGTCAATTGTTTCACTTCAAATTGACCAGTTTAACTTGAACTTTGCTATGATGGACGAAAATGGAAAAAATACTTAAGACAAGACTTAATTAAGACAATTTTTTTATTTAATTGCCGATGAAATGTGATTCCGTTTGTTTTGTAATTAAATGGTTTGCTGTTTTTCCCACACAACCGAATGGAACAGCTCCCCATAGTTCGAGATATTATCTTTATTACAATAAATACAGAATATTTTTGGAATATACGGTGACGCACAGGGTAAAGAGCACGTCAAGCTTGACACTTACGATTTAAATCCAACTCTATGCCGCTTATGATAAGAACGGTCCAAAGTACATAGTGACGTTTACGTGATCTTGAATGTACGCACAGGTCACTTGTTGGCGCTGTACTATTTCAGCTTTCTAATTTGTGATTTCAGCGCATACGAGAGTTGATATTTAAAAGCGATATAAGGCCTATTTGCCTGATGGTTGATGGATGGCCCTTATTTCGTCTCTATTTTTGGTTATACATATACTCGACGGATGCTAAGTAGGAATCCAGTTATCATTAACATAGCTTCAAAATTACATAAAAAAAAAAAACAAATAATGGGAATGGACAAACCTTGTCAGCAATGTGTTTTGTCTCATTGGTAACAGCGAGCATGGCTCGAGCCAACCGCTTATGCTGATCTCGAAGCGTACTCGCCAGCCCCCACAAAAACCGCTTCTTCGCAGCCATATTACTCTCTAGACGGGCAGCGCGCTTGTTGAATGATTCTTCTAACTGTTCAATAGAGTTGAAAAATATCATCAACGCTGTCTAGCTTCAGAACTTGACTTTTTGAAGTGGGGTGAAAGTACTAATGACAGATATGTGATGCGTGCTAGCGTGATGCGTGCGTGTGTGGGTGTGTGCGTGTATGCGTGGGTGTTGCGTGCGTGGGTGTTGCGTGCGTGCGTGTCTGTTTAACTATATGTATGAGAGAGAGAGAATATTAAAATTAAATTAACGTAGTAGGTCATCGCTGAAAATTTAACACAATGCTCATGTACGGGAGGATCCTTTGATCGATGGGTCATTCTTGTCTACGAAGGCGGAGCGAAGTATAGACGCGTTTCAGTAACTATTATTGTTTTGTTTTTTTTTTTAAATTAAACAACGTGAATTGTAAAACTAGAACTAGTCCGTTTTGGACCCCCAATACGAAACAAGCTCCCACCTGCATCTTCCGTTTATGCAGCTGCAAGGCTTGGTTTGCCAACGACCGTTTGACTTTTTGCTCCTCCTCATTCCGCACTTGGTCTACCTCTGCTTCGTGCACGTTACTGACGAGGTTGAAGGTCTGCAGACGTAACAGTTATAGTTCATTTAATATGCAATAAGATAATACTAGTGTCATAATCATAACACTGTTTTTTGCCTTGATACTCTACACAAAACTACTTCCGATTCAGTAGCGACTGCCGTAACACCGATACTTAGCGTAATAATTCGTAACGAGAAATTAGGGATAACGGGCTTACTTGCATTACAGGGTCACAAGAAAAAAGGCGATACCACGCTCTTAAATTGGCGAAAAAAACAATTAAATTTCTCTTACACAATCGTTCATTTGAGACCACACATTTGGTACGATGACAGGTCACCACATAACTAAAAGTTTGTGAGTCGATACTGTTTTTATGTCGATGTATGATCAAGGTCACCATGTATATCGAAATTTGTTAGTCGATACTGCTTTTATGTCGATATATGGTCAAGATTACCATGTATATCGAAATTTTTCAGCCTATACTGTTTTTATGTCGACATATGATCAAGGTGACCATGAATATCGAAATTTGTCGGTCGATAGTGTTTTTATATCGATATAAGGTCAAGATCACCATGTATACCGAATTTGTCGGTCGATACTGTTTTTATGTCGATATAAGCACTACGAATTAAGTGAAATGTGTCCATACGTGGTCCATATATTCCAACACGCTCGTTTCCCACTGGGGTAGGCAGCAACTACGAATTTTGTACATTACTTTTTGTGGACACAAAACGGAATTGACTTTTGACAGTTAGATAGTGTACAATAAAATAAAATATCTAATCCTTCTCGCCATCTATCTTGTGCTGGTCGGGCGGCGAGCACTCAGCGCCGCTTGTTACTCCCGTAATTGCAAAAAAAGAGCCTATACTCAGAATGTATTACAACCAAGTCATAAATGATTCATTTAAAAAACATTTTTTCTATGTTTATTTGCAGTTTGTTTTTAAAAAAGTTTTGTAATTTGTTATAAAAATACACGTCTTTTTTAAACGTGTCATACGACATCTTAGATCTTGACTAAAAACAATGAAACAATACAACATTTCACATCATGATGATGTGAAATGAGCACATTGTTAAAATAAGACAATGAAACCTCGTTCAACACTTCTCTCTCCATTAATTTCATGTTCTTCATTATTCTTTCACCATTCTTAGATGTGATACTCGCTTGTCTCTGGAATAGAAAATTATGAGAAAACAGTACATAGGGCTGATAACTGTAATCTACAATAGTATCGCAACTTTTTTTCACTTTAGTACACGTGTTGTAAATGGAAGAAATTCCTTCTTTAAAATGCCGCAACAAGGAGAGGGTCTAAGAATAACGGTATTTCGTTCATCGTAATCTACAAGTTCATGGCGCATTCTGTTCCCGCTAATGTAAATTGAGCCTAATGTATGTATGTATCAGTGACGTGTCGTGTTCATTCTATGCCTCATATACCAATGAGGAGTAGAAATGTATTCAAACTTCTCTCTCTGCTTCTTTGAAAGAACAAAATGCTATTGATTGTTAAAAGACGGCATTCTTTTGGGGCTTTGATGAACATATATCTTAGGGTCGTATTCTAGAACTCTATTCAATGCTCAAGTCAGTATTGCACTGGCAACACAAACACTGGAAATACGACCCTAATGGCAGGGACTTGAGTATGATTTCGAGTGCTTTAAAGTTTAAACCATACTCAAATCCTGACTTGAGCATTGAATAGAGTTCTAGAATACGACCGTTAATGTTAATGTTAACGTTAATGTTAATGTTATTGAGCTTACTTTAGCATAAATCTTGCTTTTATTTCCATACTTGTCTTTCATTCTCAAAATTTTGCCCCGGCAGACTTTGCACATTAAATAATGGTGGCATTTCTCCACTTGTCGTTTCTTCGAGGGGTCACCTTCGATAGAATTGCAGCTTTTTTCTGACAATATTACCGTCGCGCTCCCGTCCGACATACATTCTAGAAATGGGTAACAAACGTTATGCTTATTAAAAATACTTACACATGGACGAGAGTACAAACGATAAAAATAAGCATAACAACTAGACGGCCTCCGTAGTTGAGTGGTTTGCATACCGGTTTTCATGGTATCACCATCTCTGAGGTCCCGGGTTCAATCCTCGGCCGGCTCAGCGTAGAAAACTAATCTTTATTGTCTCGGGTCTGAGTGTTTGTGGTGCCGTCGTTGTTTTCGATTGGAAATGCTTTAGCTACTTACTTTGGGATCAGAGCTACGTATGTGATGTTGTTTAATATTTATTTAAGTAGAAGGCGAAAGACAATGTGAACCACATAATTTTATAAAGAATCCAATTAAGAATAACCTCAGTACAGAGTACTAACAAAAATCGACCTCGAAAGTAATTCATCCCCTAGTTTGCCACCCTTAGAGGTGGCATATTTCTTCAAATTTAAAAGAGACTACTTCTGAGGTACCCTCTTTCTAACAAAAAAGAATCATCAAAATCAGTTCACAAAGCCGGAGTTATCGCGTAACATACATACAAAAAAAAATCATACTAAAAATGCCTATCTATACAAGACAATAACTTAAAATTGCTTGTCATACAAACTAGAACCATAACACCTCATGGGTAGTTCATACTGAATGTAATTTTTTTGCAATGGATAGCGATTGGTTGCGCCAAACAAAGTATTAACTACCCTGGAATGTCAACCCCAGCCAGTCCTGTCCTACTCAAAAATAAACAACTTTTATTTGGTCCACAGCTACATCATCGGGAGACTTTTATTTGCTAATGCAGCACCCATCTATCTAAATAGGTCCGCTGGACAATATTTTACACAGTACAGTAATACCCCGCTTTACACAAGGATGCGTTCCGGACAAAATCGCGTTAAGCGAAATTCGCGTAAAACGGGGTTGTTTTTTTTGAGTGGCCCGCCTGGAGTATAGCTTTTTTGATCGCCCTAGGTTCTCTAATTTGACCTAACGAGTGCTACCAGGGATGGAACAGGGTATGATCGAATAAAACGCTAAATGTTGTAACGAACGTGCCTTTCGAACGAACCAACTTTTCTAACATTTTTATCTTCATCTCCAAACTTAAAGCGCTTACGCTCTTCTTTCTTAGTTAGTGACGACATTGTCCGTAAAAATTATCTTTACAATTCACTGGATAACAGTACCAATATGATTACAAATTAAAGGTCCTGTCAAGAAAGAACTACCTCTCACAATGCACTTTTAGTAACCTAGAAGCTTCGGGTTCAAATTGGCTGAATCAATGAAATCAATACATCCGCGTAAATCGGGGCAATTTAGCGCGAATTTTGAAAATCGCGTTATAACGTAATCACGCAATGCGGGGTCTACAAAGCGGGGTACTACTGTACTTACTTACTATGTATCTGACTTGTTATAAAGAAAGGACCCGCAAAAAGACACAACCAATGTATGTGTCTAAAAACTTGTACTGCAGGCTGAATATTGCAAAAACATGCACTACCATTGGAGTTAACATTACGTATTGAATGGAAAATGTATATTAAATGTAATGTAATGCAGAGTCATTACACAAAAAACAGTTTGCATAAATTTAACTGCCCACTATACATATTTGTATAATAAAAAATTATACCTGGCTCCAAACACTGCTCCTGCCTGTATGTGTTCATACAATTTATAATGCATAACAATAGGGATTTATGTTTCTCTGTTTTGTACATTTCTAGGACACTGCACGCGTATTCTGAATCACATTTTATACCTGGAAATGAAATAGATCAATAATTAAAGGCTCCAGGGAAGAACTGCCACTTTACCTATTTCTGCCGCCAAGCAGTAATGTGAGCAATTTGGAAGGGTAAGGGCACTGGCACACGGGATTTGTCAACTTGTCTCAGGGTGACAGGTGCAGTAATAATAATAATATAGTAACATAATAATATGACTACTGACTACTAAATGTAAATGACTACTGTGTGTGAGTGGCACTGCAACGTTATGGCTAGGCGTGTCGCTTACCACCAGATGCACGACTTGTTCGTCCCGTCACTTGGTATTATAAAAAAATCTACTTGAGCATCACGTTACAAAATTAAAGTTTTCTAGAAGCCTAATGCAGCACAACATTGGCTCTACGTATAATATACGTAGAAAATTAAGAGAAATGCTAAATATTTTAAATACTGTAGTACATGTCCATTTATTAGAGAAACTCGTCTTCTGTATTGTGATGTATGTAGATTTGATATAAGTTGAAGAGCACCCTTTATGACCACAAGAGAGCTGCGGAAAACAGCCTGTTACACCAGACTTATACCATACAGTGTATGATGAGTGCCAAAAGTGTTTAAATGAATATATTTCTTACCTTTCCCTTAACTTTTTTTACTTGAATAGATTTTGTTGTTCATGTTCCGATATTAATAAAACATAAGCAATCATTCATCATTTAGCGAATAACCACATGTCTTAAAACATATTATGTAGCCAGTTTTTCTTATGTGCTACTCTGCAGTGGATATATCTTGTTAATCAGATTAACCACTTTACTAAGAAGATAATAGTCAACAAAGAATGTGGGGCGATGTAGAAAAAGAATTCAGATACAAAATAAAAGCAATTTATTGTTATATCGTCGATGTTTTGTAGAAAGGGCGAGGTGCGCTATTTCTAAAAATTGTTTTATGAGCTTGTTTTACTTTTCAAACAAATTTAAGTTTTAAAATTGAATTTAAAACAGGATGTTTAACACAACTGTGAAAAACTAACACATGCTCCCCAGAAAAAATTCTATTCATATGTGGAAGATGTGTCTCTTAATAATGTTCTGCATGTGGTTACAACATGCAGAACATTATTAAGAGTTCACAGAAGGTCCTTTTAGATGATAAACTGTGGTAAACTACTGACTAAGAAAGGTCAGACTGTCAGTCACTTCCAGCAACAATTCATCTTTTTTTAACATGTTTAGTAAAATTGGTGTGAGACGTAAATATGCTATATTTAAATTAGGTATTTTAACATTTCAATTTCGGCAGTAATTAAAGTAATATGTGGTAAGGCATCATACTATGACCAAGAAGTATTTTATATTACATACCTAAAAAATTTAATATGGCCCAAACATCTTTATCATTAAACCGCAGGGCTTTGGTCGTATCCTCACTCTTGTTTTGCATGAGATTCTTGGCAAAGTCAAACATCATATTTGATAATGGTATCTCCGATACAAACACTGAGAGGGTGTAACTGAATTCCTGGAAACCATTGTTAAATACTTATTAAATAATATGTGTGTGTGTGATGTGATTGATGGACCACCCTTACGGTTTGTAGACAGGCGAGAGAAGCACTCCCCATGCTCAATGCCAGTCTATCTCGAATATTAATTAAACTCAAAAGGTAAGAGCTTCGCACTCTAGCTGCCGTCCTAACGAGTCATGGTCCATAGAATAAACACCTTTTTAATTTAGGTATCACAGACAGCCCTCTATGCAGAGCATGCATGGAGGGGGAGGAAACGGCTGCGCACATCCTGCTACAGTGCTCCGGCGTGGCCAACTACAGGGCAAAGTACCTTGGAATGCCAAGGTCGCTCCCCAAAGTCTTCAGCAAACCGAGGAGGCTGCTGAGATTCCTGGAGGAGCTTGGGTGGCACGAGTAGGACTTTGCACCCACCACACGCAAAATAGGCGCCTTGACGTCGAGTTATGGACACCAGCCCGTTACACCAAGTACCAAGTAGTATGATGTGTATATTTGTTTATATTGAATAGTAGACACCATGCTAGGTCCTATTATAGCGTTTTATAGCATCAGTAAGTGCAATAGTTTATTTGATCATTACAAAAACACATAAGCCGAAAAAACTATAGTAACAACTAAAACACATTTCTTGGAACACAAGTAAAAATCTCAAAATAATGCAGAGGTTTTTAACAAAATCAACTGTTTAATTTATTATTATAAATTGAGTTCTTAGGTTTTCAGTCAACCGTGACCTGTAAAGGGCCCGAAACGTCGGTTTATTTGAAAAAACAAATATACGCGATTTAAATCCGGAAAAATAGTTTCATTTCCTTATTATTATAAATCTAATTTGAAAATAAAATAAGACTTGATTGTTATTTTTTATCATATATAATTTGTTTTAATTTCCTAGTAATATAGGTTTGCCGAGTGCTTGAAGGTTGATTTTGCATTCTTATTTATTAAACTTAATTTAGTCAATGTTGAACTGTAACAATTAATAATTTTTCAACCATTTCTGTGGTTGAAGGTTGAGTTCGGCTGTACTATGTTGATGTTAAAATATGTTAATAGAATTGTCACTTCATGTCTTATTTATTTAAATAAAGTGTTTGTGTTCTATTTTATATTCTCACTTTTTTGTTACGCTAAATATATGTATAGTGTGTGTGTAATGTAAAAAAACAGGGAGGTAAAATGAAATATACACCTCTAGAGCAGCACAAAAGGGCCACAATTAAAAAGGGGCACTGGTTCTTCCTGTAAGCAAACCAATGATTTTCTGGTACTACTCAATCATACTCACAATCACATATGTCCCATACCACTATATTTCCAGAAACAGAACAATATGTTAACAGAAACCTGTTTATTCATTTTTCCAGCCATAACGCCCAACTTACCATTCTTAAAAAATATTCTACAAGTAAAATATTAATGGCTTGTGATGGAAGCTCCAGCCGCTGAGTGAAATGTTTCTGACACGATGGAACTTCTCCTGAAAGAGTTTATTATACGAGGAATGTATTAAATTATGTAAATTACTCTTACAAAACCTGTAGGACTATCTTTTGTTTAGTAGCTAAGTTAGGTTATTAATTGTAAACACACAAGAAAAAACGTACCTTTTTGGGAACTCTTTAGCAAGTCCACAATATGTTTCCGTAAATAAGCTCGCAAATCGTTAATTATACCATTTTTATCAAATAACTCGTACATAAACATTTGGAAGTGTTCCGTATCCACGTTATTGGAAGATTCTGTATTTTCTGTGAGTAGAGCCGAATTGCTAATTTCTGTACCGTCCATTATGAAATTTTGACGTTATGTAATCCAAGTTTATAGTTGTTTGTTTGCTCTTACATTATAATTTTTGTACTATGTAAGTTAATTTCAGAAAGACAGAAATTTCAAATTTCCTAAATAATTTTGACATTACTTATTTTTGTTGACGTTTCCGGTTGCTGGGGCTACCCCAAGCTACCATTATCCAATTTTATTCATATTTGATTTTATAATAGTTCAGAGGTTAGTTTATAATTCCTATTTTATTAAATAATGCTGTATAATGACGTACAACAAATATAAATTGTTTATTATTAAAAAAATACAAATAAACGTTGAGTATCTTTCGTGTTGCTGATACTAAACGAGTATTTTGACACATATGATAATAGTCCCTGTGGCGCAGAGGATAGCGCGTTGGACTTCTAATCCAAAGGTCGTGGGTTCGATCCCCACCAGGGATGTCTCAATTCCGGAGGTGTTTTTTGTCAATTTTCTTTTGTTTCTGAACCTTTTGCAAAACATTATTATTATTTTCATATATATTTCAGAACTTTTAGCAAAAATACGACTATCGTATTTTTATTACACCATAAGAAACATTTTATTGTATTTAGCGAGGAAGTAATGTAATGTGAATCTGAGATAAATAAATATTTAGGTTAGACTAACTAATTACAAAGGGGGAACGCTGCCAGCATCTTGGGCATCTTGCCGCGGGAACCCAATTTTATTCATACATATAATTTAAAAATCCTAGTTTCGCTTTCTAGTATTTAAGCTTTTATTGTCTTTTACCTTACCTTATACATAAATTAATAAGCGATATAGAAAAAAAACTTGACTTATACATATAACTGAAATCTGAAGAATAATTGCTGTGACTGTGGCCACAAAAAGGCTCACTGTGGCCGCCACAAAATACTTTGGTGGCCGCGTGGTGTGGTCGTGATGTGGTCAGTGGGTTTTTCATAATAAATTTCACTAGTCAACATGTTGACTAGCATGGTTATCTTGCAAGGTCACTTTGTTTGTTATTCATAGTAGAGAGTAGTAAAATGTTTTAATTTTCAAGATAATTATGGCTTCTTATTAATGAGTATTGACCTAGGTTTTTATTAAATGCAATCCAACTTTCCTATAAGGCAGCTTCAATCTATAATAAGTTAATAACTCCCACTGTACTTTAGCGATAGCAAAAAGAAACAATACTGACTTACTGCGCCGTAAGTCCACGGTCCCCGGATTGAGCAAGATAACCGTAAATTCAGCAATTAATGTGCTTAGATTTAATGTGTACGATGTTGAGTAGGCTCTTTAAATGAGAATTTCTAAACGTTTTAGACTAAGTCAATTTAAATGTCAAAAACACGAGTGTTGTTTTCTTTTTTTCCATCCTCTAATATAGTTATTTTTACTTGACATTGGCAAAATCATTGATTATTTCGATGGGGTCATAACATTTAAAAGAAGAAGAAGAAGCACAAACTACTAATACAAGACTTCTAAGGTTGTTTTTCATAAAAAAAAAGGTCTGAAATCGATTATAGATATCTTTCTAGTGGATTCTAAGTTCATTAAATTAATACAACATGAGGCGTCGAGCGGGAGTCGGTGCAATTCAAAAGCAGCGACTAGAACAAGAAAAATATCGAGAAAAAGGTTCAGAAATACAAGAAAACCAGTTCCAACAGATGTCGAAGCAATTAGAAGTGTTTAGAGAAAATTTGGAAGAATTCGCGACAAAACATAAGAGTGAGATAAAAAAGAATGCTCAGTTTCGAAGGCAATTCCAGGAAATGTGCGCTGCAATCGGTGTGGATCCGTTGGCTTCAGGGAAAGGGTTTTGGTCTGTTTTAGGTTAGCAACATTTTGTTCAATACCTCATCCAGGAACCATTTTTACTTATTGCTACTCGACTGATATTAATAAAATTACACAACATTTCAGGATATACAGTACCTATAAGGATTCAGAGGAATAATACAATTTTTATTTGTGTGTTTTCACTAACATTCATGACAAGTTTTTATTTTGTTTAAGCAGTACCTTATTTATATGTATATTTTGACATGTCAGGCATACCCTTCCAACATTGTATTGCCTTTTGTTTAGATAATTCTGCCCTCGTAATGAAAAAACGTACAACTATGCATACTTTATACAGCAGTTGTGCCTTTTTTCGTTCCGAGGGCAGAAGTGTCATCGAGTTAAATTGAGATCTTTTATCATATTTGATGTAACAGCTTTGTCAATCCACATGACACAATGAATAAATGGATTAAGTAGAATGTGAACCAAGTATTAGGTTTTCACAATGAAATTATTTTTTTGGATTTAAATCGTGTACATTAATCTTTTTAAGCTAACTGTCACCCATGATCAGTGGACCTGAAAAGTGCCCGAAACAATGATTTGTTTGACAAACAAATATACTCAATTGAGATGGGTCCGCAGTTCATACAAACTAGCACACCACATCCACGTCCCGGGCACGGCCCTGATGTGTGTAAATAGTCCTTAATAGGTCTTATATTGTAGCAGCACTAACTAGCTTAATGAAGAACCACAATATGATATGGTAGACATTAGAAACAATAGTTTAAATGGCTACATTTAGGTGCAAAGACAATTTCATGCTACTGTTTTATACAGGGACTGTCTTTTGTTTTATGTAGTTATTTATGCACAGATTTTTTAGAATGAGAATGCAATCATTTTGGAAAAATGTCAATGTGCAGTTTTTCCCTATGATCACTTAGCTTATCTGCCATTAGATAATGATTTATTGATTATATTCTAATATTTATATTTATTATATATTTATTGATTAGATAATGAAATAAAAATTAGATAATATTTTTGGAAACAACATAAATAATAATCACCTTAAAAGTTTACCTTCTGTGTGCTACCAATAGGTCCTTTCAATGTCAATCCTTTTTTGCAATGAACACCTCATGCAGGATCAGAAATTATATAGAAGTTTAATTTATTGAATACTGCTGATAATTTCAGGTATTGGTGACTTCTACTATGAGCTGGGTGTGCAAATAGTAGAAGTGTGCTTGGCAACAAATTACAAGAATGGTGGACTTATTACATTGGAGGAGTTGCGGACAAGGCTTATCGCTGCTAGAGGGAAGGCCAAGAAACACCAGGAAATCACCAACGAGGACTTACTAGCTGCTGTCAAAAAGTTGAGGATATTTGGCAATGGGTAAAATACATATATTTCCTTTTAATGATATGTATAAAGTAAAGTAATTTTTTATGATATAAAGTGACAAAATTAAAATTTGTATGTCTGTTGGTAAGCAGCACATCTACCCACAGCTATTGCTTTATTTATTTATTTATTCATTCATTGAGAACCAGCAGCTTCTTACATTTAATAAAAAACAGGAATATAAACATAAACAGGTTTACACTAAGCTACAGGCTACAGGTTAGGAAGCGACAGGTTTCCACCTATAGCTTCAAACAAATCATACACGAGCATTAAACAAACGAACAATAAACAGTATATCTTAACATCGTGCACTTACATAAATATGACAAACCAATACCTGCGCTAATCACAAATTATTAAATAAGGTTAGATAAATATAATGTCCGTGAGTTTACGCTTTAGCGCATCAACATTGCAATTTAATATATCAACTTCCAGGTCATGATTGGTCAGCACACTATCCAAGCTCTACATAGAAAACTATTTTGTCTATAGTTAGTCCTCGCTAAGAGAACTGCAATAGGGTGATAGTGTCTCATAGAACGAGTAGGTACAATGAACGAAATATCACCCAATAAGTCAAAGCAGTCAACATTACCATTTATAATGTTTAGAATATACGCAATATCAAAGATTTTTCGGCGAATATTTAGAGGTAATAGATTCAGATCCGTACAGAGACGGGTAGTCGCATGAATTATAAGACTTACTCATTTTATAGCATAAGAATTTAAGAAATTTATTTTGGACTCGTTCAATTCTGTCTTTATAGACTTGGTATCTCGTACTCCAAATTTGGGAATCATATTCCAACTTGCTACAAACATATGCACAATATAATATTCGTAAAGTTCTTGGCCAAGGCCAATAATGCGTAACTCAGTCTGTTTCTCAAGAGAAACAGACTGAGTTACGCATTATGAATCCAAGAGACTGAGGGTCGTATTGTAGAACTCTACTCAATGCTCAAGTCAGGACTTGAGTATGATTCAAAGCACTCGAAATCATTAAAGTCCCTGCCATTAGGGTCGTACTTGGTACTTGGTACTTGGTGTAACGGGCTGGTGTCATTAGGGTCGTATTTCCAGTGCTTGTGTTGCCAGTGCAATCCTGACTTGAGCATTGAATAGAGTTCTAGAATACGACCCTTAGTAGCCTTAGAGATAACATCATCAATATAAGCATCAAAGATCAGCATTGAGTCATGGATGACACCCAGATCCCTCATGACTGTCTTTCGTTCTAGACAGTGGTTTTTCAAACTATAAGAAGTAAAAATAGTATTGACCTTGCGTGAAAAAGTCATTAAAAAACATTTGGAGGGGTTAAGATCTAATTTATTGTGCAGACAGTAGTCATCCAGCCGTGATAGATCAGATTGCAGAGCAATAGCATCATCAACAGAAGTGATTTTGGTATAAATTTTCATATCATCAGCAAAGCTGAGTAAGTTGGAAAAGCGGAAGCAATTACTAACGTCATTAACAAATATATTGAAAAGGAGTTGCCCTAACAATGAACCTTGAGGAACACCGCTAGGTATGGTAACCCAAGTGGATATATAATTATTTACTACCACTGCTTGAGATCTGTTGCTTATGTATGAAGACCCCTGATACCAATCTTAGCGAGTTTTCATAATAAGGATATTATGGTTAATTTTATCAAAAACCTTACTATAATCTGTATAGATGACATCTACTGGATGACTACTGTCTATAGATTGTGAGACAAATTCGTTCAATAATATAAGATTAGATACTGTAGACCTACGCGGAAGGAAACCATGTTGGGTGTGACTAAAGGAATTATATAAAGCATTATTATAGACTTGAGTATGAACAATCTTTTCCAATACTTGCTGTTTTGGTAATGAAGTCAAGCATAAATTACTATTTACATGTTTATCAATAATGTATAAAAAATTTCAACTAATGGTTATTTATTTGAAATTTGAGAGTGATTATAAATATACACTTTTCAATAATATTGTGTAATGTTACAACAACATTAATACCAGGAATAGTTTGTACTGTAGGTCTACAGATAATCTAGACATATCTATTTCAAAAATTTATTTCTTTTATATGAGAAGAGATGGATTACTAAGCGTGTGAAGGATTGTATGACTTGGTTATGAAAAACGCCTTTCCTAGGGATGACAAATCAATTTTTTTAAGCTAGCAATCAAGCATAGACAACACAAAAAATAAGGCTGATTATTACACATGGTGCTGCGGCGCCGCAGGACTTGCGGCGTCATATCGCAGCACCAGCGGTGAGACTAAAATCGTACATTAGTAGAAAATTGCGGCAGCGCTGGGGCGTCACTGCGGTATTAGGTAACGCCGCCGCTGCCGCAGTGCGTTTATGAAAGTGTGTATACAAAGGCCATCACTGATGCACTGTAGCAACGGTGCGGTGACGCTGTTGTTACGACGCTGTATGTAATCAGCCTAAAATATTCTCAAAAAAGAGTAAAAATCTTATTAAAAAGCGCTCCTTTTGGGCACAGTAGGTACTGCTAGAACTCATGAAATTGTAATATCAGATCATTCATTCAGGTTTACAGTAGTACCAATAAGCAAGGGCAAGTGGCTGGTGCAGTCAGTGCCTGGCGAACTCAACCTGGATCAATCTCTTGTTCTGCAGAAGGCTAGCTCTCTTGGCAATGCTTTCGTTTCTGTCAGCATTCTTACTAGGGATTTGGGGTGAGTATTCTTTTTTTGCTAGTCTTAACAGTCACAACACTGTGGGTTCTTTTTTTGCTAGTCAACACTGGGTAAAACACACCTGTTTTAAATTCGCATGTCAATTTTATTATTATACTACGTATGTACTTTTATGCCTTACATTTTTACTACATGATTGATGGTACTAGAAAAGAATTGATTTACATACTTCAGTTCAAAGTTCTATATAATTGAATTAATATATAATAAATATAATTTAATTAAACTGCCACTGTGGCCAAACGGTTACCATGCCGGACCGCCACGAAGAGGTCCCATGTTTGATTCCCAGACAGGCCAATAATATTTATACAAACCTACATTTATTTATCTCGTGAGTTTGGGTGTAATTTGTGGTTGTCTATGTGTGTGTCCATGGGACCCGCGACACCGGTTTTTAGGGCTATGTTAAGTTTGTGCGTTATTATAAAAAAAATTGTTTTCGTCAAGTTGTTACTTACGTCCAAAAGTGCTATAAGGGACTTTGTGGGAACCATAAATTTGTTTGCAGAATTATAAGATAATAAATAAATTACTATAAAAATAAAAAAATTGCTAAAGTTATTTAAGCTATTTCAAGGTATGATTTGTCGCCAATATCATAACTTGAAGTGTGGTTGACACTTTCTGTGACAGTTGTGTAGCAATGTCTGACAGGGGAATAAGGGATCAAGAACAAGCAAGATGTTTTTAATTAAAAAAAAAATTGATTGCTGAAGATCCTCAAGGTTATGAGAATTTTACGATATTAAGATACCATGTACTTGCGGTTTTCAGGTGGAACGAAACGCGAACGGAAAGCGCTTTGAATCATATGGTGAAGGAAGGACTAGCGTGGATCGACACTCAGGGTATCGAGACGCTCTACTGGTTTCCCAGTATGTTCGCAGAGTGTGTGTCCGCGTGATAGTGGAGTATCTACTCTGTTTTATTGTTGATTGGAATTTGAGTCGTGTTGACAAGAATTCCAAGAAATTTATTTATTTATTATCTGTTTCATTTACTTTCTTTTCATAAGAATCATCATCTTGGTATGTGACTGATACCATACATCAGTTACTAGAGTACTTTAAATGCTTGATGACGAAAATGTATACCAAAAATTAACCTTTTTTTTATTGTATTGTAGACTACAAAAACAGTTGTATGTACATACGTGCAAATACCGAGACTTCGGCTCCGTCATAGGTACTATAACTAGATAAATAAAATTTTAAGAACAAATAGTAAAAAGATAATTTGTTACAAACCTTAATAATATTGCAAATAAAATTAAGTTATATGTATATTTAAAAGGTTTTATTTACTACCTCCTTTTTCTAATATTGCACAGAATTTCCCTTGTGAATTCTAAAAACGTTATTCTTAATAACTACACATTATTTTTCATACATACAATACTTCAAAACGTATTAGAATGTAATCACTAAATCAGTCAATAATCCAAACCAGCGCCATCTAGCGTGCATTGATATAGTACTGGCAACCGGTACTATATCAATTGTCTAAAGATTTCACTTTTTAATACTATTTCATATTCCGCAGCATTGCAAGAAATTCCATCTCAAATACATTTAATTTTGGCGCTAGAACAACTTGTTTTATCTAATCAGATGCTATATAAATGACGCAAACAATTCTTTTCTTCATCCTGTAAAATTGTCAAAATTGAGATGGTAAAGGTTGCCATTTCACCGTCAAAATACAAAGTTATTCAGCAGAGTAGGTTCGCCTCTATTAGCCATACTATACTGTGTGTATAACTTATTGCTATTCTGTGCTGCTGGAATTTTCTTGGCTTGGTACATTTAATCTTGCTCTAAGTTCTTCATTTTCTTTTTGCATACCTTTCAGTCTTTTTTTTAATTTTTCTGTCATTTCCATGTAGGATTCCTTCCACCTGAAAAAATTATATTCAGCTATCATTTCGCTTACGTTTACCTAAATATGTTTTGTTTAATAATAAACCTAGTAATGTTTTGTTTTTATAATTATTTTGTTTCCTTAAATCCATAATCTCATCTAAAGGATTAGAATAATAGATATTATATCGTAATACTTACTTTCTACTAAGCTCCATTTGATTGTCTAAATGTTTATTCAATTCCGTCAATTCTTCTTCTTTTGTGGAGATCATCCTGTAAAAGTATGGAGTAACTAAGTAAGGCACTTACAAAGAATCATTTATCCCATAGGTAAAATAAATTACACTTTAATACGTCATTTTTTAAGCTACTGCTCGTTCACTGTGCCGACTTCCCTGAGAAGAACGAGTAAAAAAACTAGGGATTGCTCTTTTCAAATAAACTTAAATGGTATGGAATACACTTCGAATCAAATTTGTGTAGAATCTAGACCCATGTCGTCTTTCCATAAATACATCTTTATCCAACACGTAGTCTTTTCAATTAAAATACTTTTATGTCAGTTTTGAAGTTAGAAAATGATAATTTTAATATATGTTCCAGAATATTATTGTAAAGACGTATATACTTCCCCAACGAAGAATCGTTTACCTTTGTTAAACGAAATCGTGGTACCATGGGTTTAGACTTAGTTAATGAAATTATGTATATTTTCCGGCCACGGTCATGATACGAAACTATTCTTTTCTCAAACTTTTCTCTAGGAGATAACCAAACATGAGTATTCCATAGGATATTATACGTGGGGCGCACTATAAGTTTCCGAAATGAATAAGAAAAAAATAGTATAAATGGTCAGAAATGAATTTATTGTTTCTCAAAATATTCTTCGTTAGCATTATTGCACTTTTTCATACGAATGAATCAATTTTGAAAACATTTATGCCACTCCTCCGTGACAATCTCTGAAACATATTTTTCATACTCGTCGACAGCCTCTTCAGGTGATGAAAATTGTTGATCGCGTAACTGGTTCTTAATTCTTGGAAATAAATAAAAGTCACAAGGTGCTAGGTCGGGACTGTACGCGAGATGGCTCATAGGGTCAACGTTGTTCACCTCCGAAAATTCTTTTGTCTGTCTGGCCATGTGAGAACTGGCTTTGTCGTGGTGCAAGATGATACGGCGTTTACGGTTATTTTTACGGAGTTTGTCAATAACTTCCGGCAAACAAATGGTCGTGTACCAATCACTATTCGCGGTACAACGATTCTCCAAAGCAACAGTAGCCACGTGTCCAGTTTTATTAAAAAAAGAAGCAATCATCCGCTTAGAGGCACTTTGCACGAGCGCTACTTTGGTTGGTTTCGGCTCATCTCGAAAGACCTATACGCTCGATTGCTGCTTTGTTTTGGGATAATAACTATAAATCTATGTTTTGTCACCTATTAGCGTGGAACCAAATTTGATGCCCCTTCGTTGAATCTGGTAAGCATGGCATTGCACCAAGTGACGCGATCCGTTTTTTGAGCCTCAATCAAATTGTGTGGGATCCACCGAGAGAACAGCTTTTTCTCAGTTTTTATTTGTGTAGTATTGTGGTAGTTCAAATTTAACACACTTTGTCTTCTTGAAATTAAGCAATAAATTGTTAGTATTAAACCAATGAACCTTTGAAAGAGTATCGTTAATATGGTTAACGTCATATCTGTCTGTTTTAAAAATTATGGATATGTCGTACCTACGTGTCGGCAGATCATTAGTACAAATGAGAAATAAGAAAGGTCCAAGTATTGAGCCTTGTGGAACACCTATTTTTACCGGAGAACCCGAAGTCTGAATTCTAGCTACCGTTGAGAAATGACAAGTTCCAATGCCTTGCCATTTACTCCGTAATATTTCAGCTTCCTAACAATGGTAATATGGTCCACAGAATCAAATGCCTTTGAGAGGTCACAGAAAATCCCAATCGCGTTCTGGGACCTTTCCAAAGCATCAAATTTATGTTTTAGTAGCTCTATTCCCGGATCGCTAGTCGATCTACCATTAGTAAACACATATTGTTCACTATGGAAAATGTGATTCCCACCGAAATAGGACAGCAGTTGAGTCAGCATAACCTTATTGAATATTTTACTTAAAGCTGGTAGAGTATAAATGCGCCTATAGTTACTGGGATCAACTTTCCTGGTTGAAATGCACAGAGAAATCTTTCCTTATGTGACATCGCTCTAGGCTCAATTTACATTACGGCGTACGGAATGGAAGCGAATTTTTATAACGATATTGTACATAATATAATGAACTTTATGGTCAATTGTGTAACGTACAAATTAGATACGAATAAAAAGTCGCGTGTCTTTCGGAGAGTTCTGGCGCATGCTCGTGAATGCCCGATTCCGCGAGAAGTGGTGCAAGGGCAGCTAAACAACTGAACATCTACTTTACGCATAAGGCACTGTCATGGGAATTCGCGCCTTCACGCGCAGCGAGGTGAATTTCGCTTAGGTTCTTAGGTAGTCCATAAGTAATCATACTTACTTTTGACTAAGCTCTGTTCTTGAAGACAGCATCTTTTGCAATTTGTTAACTATTTTATGCGTTTCGTCCAGAGATTTTTGTAAATGTAGCACTTGCATCCTAAAATAAAACAAACAACAGTACAAGTTTTGGCAAGCAAAATAGAATAATATAAGTTTTCAGAAATTTCAATGATTATGTATCTATTATACGCAGTTAAATTTAACTGAGCGGCGTGATGTATCTTTCTTTCCACCTACTCATAAATACGTCATTTATTGTTAGAAAATAAATAAAATTTACATTTATTCCCTAAATAATTCCGATTATGCGTATTAAATGATACACAACAGACGGTTTAAAAAATCTAAAAAAAAAAAGAATTATTAAAATGGAACTGACTTAATAGACTATGAGCTTGGAAAATAGAAGGCGCTTAGACTATAATTCAAAGCGCCTTCTATTTCCCAAACTTGTGTTCTTTTCCAGTAAATATATTATTATCTATTATAGTTGCAGTATATACTAATCGACAAATAAAAAAGAAAAATGAGTTCGATTCGCGAAAGTTTGAAGAAAAATTATAAAACATAGTTCAAATGATTTGGCAACTGTTTATAACCTTACTTGAGCTCTTCACACTGAGTCTTCAATAATTTTTCCTCCCAGTTCCGTCGCTTGATCTCTCTTGTGTGAGCGTCCTGTATTCTCTGAATGTCTATTGCTAAACACTGCTTCTCGCATTGTAATTGAATGTTGCGTCTTTCTGATGATACCTACAATAATAAAATTATTTAAGTGACGTAAGGGCCTAATAAACACGACTACGTAAATTAAATTCAATATTCCCCACTTAATATAAGAAGTTATTTATAATATCCACAGATTTATTTTCCATAAATCTATGCGTCAAACCATTAGGCTACCACGGCTAGAAGATAAATTAATAATTGAACATGAAAACGTCATACCAATTCCTGAAACATAGTTTCCAACCGTTCCTCAGCTAACTTGATCTTTGGATCCACAGCACTAAGGCAATCCTTCTGTTGCTTTATAAAACTCTCGTTTGTTTCTCGAAGAATTTTATTCTCCCTGCAATTTTGTTTATCAAATAAGTACCTAGATAATATTAAAAATATGTTTCAATGCCATACTATTAATTGATTTTAAGCATCGGTAAGGTGGGCCGACACAAATATACGGTTAAGCAAAAAAGGCTTATCTCGTAAATGTCTGTTTACTTTTGCCTTGAAAGACAAGAAGTTAGTGAAATCAATAATACAGCACGTACCTAAAAATCTTATTTAGTAGCATTCCCTTCTCTACTAACTCTGTGTCTAAATTCCTAATATGAATGAGCATATCGGCTACTTTTTCGTTGTATTTTTCTTTGATTTCATCTAATTCCCTCCTATAGCTCATTTCTGCATCTTGTTTTACGTTTGTTAATACTTGTTTCACTTGTGATAATTCTCCTGAAATATTGTTTCCCATATTGTTATCGTTTTATTAAACTTCTAAGTTTCTATTTAATGAAATTGTACCAGTATCGGTTGTTCCATAGGGCTCACACCTTCGTCCAATTGTATTTGTTAGGTTTGTTGATGATATAAAATATTACATATTTCGAACTATTTGTGATAACCTAAAGTTATCAAAAGTAGTGTGTAACGTTGCTGATCAAATTCAAAAAGATATAAACGGAGTCACTGAATGGTGGCGGAAAAGCTCTATGAGTACACAGTCAAATGTTTTCATATAAATTTTTTTCGAAAATATAAAATATTTAATAGCAGTTATAGTATTAATAGAGTTGTTTTAAAAGATCTGGAACAGGTTAAAGACCTTGGCTAATGCCAAAAGGAATCGGAAATGCGGTTTACATCTCATATAAACTACATAGTAACAAAGTGTTTAAGACTGTCAGCCTTTATGTTGAGAAACACCAAGGAATTTAAATCGGTTTGTGCTTCAAAAATAGTGTACTATGGTTTGGGGCGCGTAGTATCATCTGTTTCGTGGCATCAAAATAATATTGAGAAAATTCATAATAAGTTTCTTAAAAAAGTTTCTTATGTAGATGGCATTTACGGTACGGTCAGAAGCTATGGGTAAGATCAACTCATTTTAATATATTATCATTAAAACATCGAAAGGAGCAACTGGCCCTAAATTTTTTGTATAAATTACTAAATCATGATATAGATTGTCCGTCCCTCTTGTCCCAAATAAACTAAATTAAAAATACCTATAATGTCAGCTAGGCTGCATAATTACAAACCTTTTGGTATTGAACTGAGAAAACCCAATTAAGGTAGTATGTCTCCACTTTATTCTACTATGAGAAAAGACAATGTAATTTTTCAGGGAATCGGACAATTTTTCAGAAAGTGTCTAGAATTAACTAAAATAGACATGTACAGCCATGAAAAACAATATTTTATTAAAATAAAGCTTAATAGTCTCTAAAATGTGCTAAAACTATGTTAAAATTTAAATAGAAACAAATTGGCGCGCAAACGTAACAAAATGTCAAATTGAACGCGTGACGTCATTTGTAGGTAAACAAGCTACGAAATCAAGGGCAAGGTGTTATTTTAAAGTTTTTGTGAAGTTTGAAGTCGTTATGGAACGGAAAACATATCGTTGGTGTGTAGTACCTCAATGTAGGAATACTTCTATAACTACCCCAAATAAACTATTTATTGATGTACCTCGAAAATCCGACATACGAAAAAAATGGTTGCGGGAAAAATCCACCCCCAGACCCTCCCCCCTGTCTCCACTTCCTGTGTTATATGAGAAACTAAATTTCCCACCCCTCAAATCGTGCGATGGTAATGTACAGTCCTTCCATCGCATGTAATTTTCCATATCATTCGGCAGCTAAAATTCGAATACATAATTATTACATTACATAATTAAAGGCACTAGTGAATATAACACAACATTTACTATATAATTATTAACACATGCTTCGATCTATGTATCACTCACTGCATAAAGTGTACTTACGTCGAAGTGATCCTCACAAAAGTATATCGCTGAATTTACAGACATTTCGTCGTGCTAGGACCAACCATTTTTTTCGTATGTCGGATTTTCGAGGTACATCAATAAATAGTTTATTTGGGGTAGTTATAGAAGTATTCCTACATTGAGGTACTACACACCAACGATATGTTTTCCGTTCCATAACGACTTCAAACTTCACAAAAACTTTAAAATAACACCTTGCCCTTGATTTCGTAGCTTGTTTACCTACAAATGACGTCACGCGTTCAATTTGACATTTTGTTACGTTTGCGCGCCAATTTGTTTCTATTTAAATTTTAACATAGTTTCAGCACATTTTAGAGACTATTAAGCTTTATTTTAATAAAATATTATTTTTCATGGCTTACATATCTATTTTAGTTAATTCTAGACACTTTCTGAAAAATTGTCCGATTCCCTAATACAAAAATATTTTATTAAATAGTGAAGTTAACTGTCGTTAGCTCGGTATTTTTTGTTTCGCTTAATTTTATCTGTTTTTGCTATTTGTAACTATACAAATTGTTGAATTTACATTCAATTTGATTTGATGTAATAGTTATATATGTATAGACAGACTGGTCATGCTCTCGTGCAAAATAATACCTTTACGTAATGTGGTGCATGCCTTTAATTTAAATGCATGGATAGTAGTAGTTGTAAATGGTTCGTTATTTATATTTAACGTATCTCTATGTATATCGTTGGTAAGCCTTATCTATTAAATAAATAAATAAATTTCACATTTATACATTAAAACCAATGATCTTAAGATTATTGATTATAACAAATAAGTACAAGCAAATAATAGTAAGGCTCATGAGGTTTAAAAATGTCACGTCAGTTAAGACACTTAGATACGCCCATCATCAATTTAATGATAAACTTGCCTGTTATTTCTGCAATTTTCTTGTTAGCTCCATTTTTTTGAGCAGTAACGAGGTCAAATAGTTGTAATGCTTCGGCGACCTGGAAAGTCGGAAACTGAGTTATAGTAACCTTAAAAATTTTATTAAAATCAATACAGGTAGGTACGATAGAAGTAAATTTTTATCCTTATCCTTACGCATAAATTTACTGATAGACCATGTTTTATTTACCTTTGATTTTGCCTCAGCTTCCTTCTTCACTCTATCAACAGCATCTTTTTGATATGTTGTTAATTGGCTTTTTAAATCTTCATTGTTTTTCTTTTCCGCAATTAAATTGATTTTATACTCTTCTAAATTCTTTGATAATTCCTCTATTTTTACCTCCAGTTTTGTACCTCTTTCTTTATAAGAAATAATATCTTTTTCCTTATTTCTGAGGTTGTTTTCTAAAATCGAGTTCTTTGAGTTTAAACTCTTGTATTTTGTTTCAAGCTCGATATAATCGGTTAGTGCGGTGTCTAATTTTAATTCTAGATCTCTTCTGTCCTCTGATAAATTTGGCTAAAACATTTGTTTTAGAGTTAATGTCATTGCTCTTATATGTTTTATAGCTACGTACAAGAATTTACAATAGGAAGTGGTCTTGTAAAACTTATATTATCATCTATTAAGATGATGCGTATTATATCTACTTTATAATCCGGAGAATCACAAATATAAAAATGGCATGTATTTAAATGATCTTTTTAAATTTGCAAAAGCAGCAGGCAAAAAATCGAAACGGTCATCTATATTAATGATTGATCCTCTTTCTCTAAAACATAAATAAATTAAATTGTTCTGAGCTACGCAAAAAATGTTTGATTTGTATAAATTAACTTTGATAGTTTTATGGTGGGCCTTAAAATTAAGACAAACGAGCATTAAAAAAATTTTAAATAAAATCTTAATACTTATTTTTAAAGCTAATTGATTATATTTGTATACTAATTGACTTAAAAACATGTTCGGAAACGCAAGTAAATTGGCTTATGGCACTCGCCGACCGCTGCCGCGACACGCTCGCTTCCCTCGCTAGGCTCGTGCTGCTTTTACATATACATTCATTGTACTAACCTACTGAACGGAGGGCGCAACCAAACAACCAAGATTTATTAGGAGATCAATATCAAAAGATGTACTGGCTATAAATGTCATCAATCGTTAAAAGAGAAGACCAAAGACAAAAAAAGACGATCAAATTTTATTTTTGAATACATATTTAGTATAGTATATAATTAATATTTATAATTTAGTATGCTTAAGCATAATAACAGTGTTACCTTGAATACAGTTCATTTATAATTTATCCGTAGATCAACTAATATAGATGGATGGAACAAAACAAATTAATTTTAATATTATACATATAAAGCTACAAGTTCTACTTTCACGCACACTAAGAGGAATGTCAGTAATACGAACGCCCAAACTACACATAGAAATTTATTTGTACGACGAATGAGCGGTATACGGAAAAATTTAGTTAAGTTTATGTTATACTGGAATGTTTTGTTTTTTAGTGCTTTAAATGTAATAAATAAAAAATAAATAAGCATAAAAACATCATATGTTTAAAAGAGTGCACATATTAATTATTTCTTTGAGGATTAAATAATATTATCCCTATAAAAATATCGTTATTAACTAATAACTTGCAAATTCGACGTCGATAAAAATGTCTATGTCAATTTGCTTAGTTATTGGTATCTAAATATAGACTTGGCCGATATGTTTCATTAATATTTACCTGGTTGCCTCTATTGTCATAGCTCTGGTACGTCTTGAGTTCTGTTTCTAAAGCATCTATTGTTTTCTGTGATGTTTGCCATAATACGTGTAGAGAATCTCTTTCCTGTGTATAGAGACTAGTAGGCATTACTTTCCATGCATATAAAACGTATACACGCGTAATCCAAAAAAGAAACGACCATATTACAGCAGTATAATATTTACTTTCTTTTATCATAAAATTTATTAAGATAAACAGAAAAATTTGAAATTTATTAAAATTAACTTAAATAAACTTAGGTTTAGATGTCGTGAAACACCACTATGGATTAAATTGATTAGAGCAAGATAAGCATTATCCTACGATTTTCGAGGTTTTGCGCGAGATAATTGGCACAACCATAACGTACAAAGCATAAATGGCGGACTGGGTAGTATGTTGAACTCCGCGTATAGTTGGCACACGCGTGATACGTCCACTAGCTTTTCTACTGTATTTATTGTTCTTCATGATAGAAACGGCAAAGAAATTCGAACCTTGGTAATAAGCGTCACCTGTCGTCGCAACTCGTCTACTTTCTTTCCCTGTTCGCCGTCACTCGTGAGCGCTTGCTGCGCAGTCTGAAGTTTCTCCTTAAGCAAAGTGCCCACCTGTCGAGACAGCTTTTCGTTGTCTGCTATTAACGTGCGGATCTCTACTTCCACTGTTGATTGATTTTGCTGAAAAGTGGTATTGGTCTATTGTTCAGAAAATGAAGGTAAGTTTAATATCCAAACAAGCAAGGTTTTCAAAAAGTAGATAAAATTATAACTAAGTGCCTATTCTTACCCTGTAGAACTCTAATTCGCTTTGTAGAGCTTCCAAAGTTTCCATATCCAAACAAATCTTTGAATAAGTGCTTAAGTATATTATAACATTGTCTAAAGTAATTCATATAGAAATAAAGATTTATTCACTAAATAAACAAATCGCATTGTTTACATTTGGCGCGGTGATGTGACAAGTTTCGTTGCTTAGCAACCGAACATTTTTTATTATAGCAAATGAAAAACGTCTTCAACCCATCAACCCATTCGTTTTTATTCATCCGTTTTTGAACGAAATGTCACTGTCGTCAATCGATCGTCAAAATGGCGGGTTTTTTGAAATTATTAGTACAGTTTTTACAAAGATTATTTTTATTTTAAGTATATTTTGACGAAAATACGAAGAAATAAATAGTGATGAAGAAAGTTAGAACTATATTCCTTATTTTAAACCAAATTACAAAAGACTATCTTGAAAATTCCACTTATTACGAATTCAAAGTTTTTGTTTAAATAATGTTATTTGTGAAAGTGAAAACATACATATTGACTCCCGCCGTTTAAAAGACTATTTAATAAACCCAAACAAGAGAACTAAGTTATTCTTAGTGAAAGTGAAAACAATATATTAGAATTTCCATGGATCCTAGCCAAAACTCTTAATGAAAAAAAAAACGTCGTCAATCGTCATTGTCGTTGTCGATCGGTTTGACACATCCGCGAAAATCTGAAAATCACATGAAAATGATCATAATGGAAAACAAACCCAGGATTATTTATTTCTGCATTTATCACGCATAATGCGTATTTAATCTTCCACCATGGAAGAAGGGTTTGTTCTTTTGATTACTATTAAGGTGCTTATTTTGGAATTTAATGCGTAAAATGAGTGCATAATTTGCGACGTTTTTCAGCGAATCTAATTTGTATTTCGACATCAGAGACGACCAGTGGCCTCTAATATACGATGATCGATACAATGTGTCCGTTATGGGGCTAGAGAGATTGCATATCTTCGATGCAAAGAAATGGCGCAACATAATACAGGTTATACTTTATTATAATATTGATATGTGTACATATATTTATTATAATTGTTTTTGAATTTTCCTAAAATTTTTAAATAAATAAATAAAATAAATATGGTATAGAATACTTCAGTTAAGATATTAAATGTAGTACGGTATGTGTTTTGTAGTATACATCAACGCCTTCTACTTTATACCACAACAGTGGTTCAGCATTGTAGGCGCTAGAAGAGTAGGCCCCGGTTCGATTCTTGGTAGGTTTAATTTGGAAACAAATTTGTATATATGTTTTGATCTCGGTGTTCTGGGTTTAATCTTGTAATTGATTTTGTTGTTTTGGTACTCAGAGTACAGAGCAATTTCTTTAGTTTTGAGACTAGAAAATTGGTGCAGTTGTTGGGTACATAGTTAGTTTAGGCATTTATTTAAGATTCCTACCTCTCCTATTGATATATTTTGAATTTTTCAGTGGAAGAGGTGGTATTCCCAACAATGGTTCTTGCCTGTCATCTTCACAAAGTCAAAACTTCATTTAATGGGCAACATAAACTCTTCTATAATAAGATTCCAGTTGGTGTCAAAAACTTGCTATCAATCAGGTTTAAAATTATAATGAAACAAAAACTTTATATCAAAAGTTATTTTACGTCTTCTGAGTACTGGGAAGACTAAAGTTCGCAGTAGTAACACATATAGCTGTTTCAGGCTTTCTCGATCTGTAATATTTGTAATAAATAATGTAAATAATAAATAAGTACAAATGTTTTTTATAATTTACAAATTGCAACTCTAGGAGTTTCTTACTCATTCTTCTTGGCGTAAAATGATTTGAAGAGTTTATTGAATGTTAAGATTTTAAGTGTAATTTACTTACCTATAATGATATGGCAATGGCCCCACCAAATAAATGTGTATTCATATATTTATGTATATTATCTACATGTTTATTGGGTATTGTATACGATTGGTAGGGCTCTCAATATTTTAATTTGAAATGTGAGACAGACGGTGCACAAATTTGTTTGCAAGAACGGGCAAACAAATTTGTGCCATGTCAAGCAGTACCACTTACTAAAGTTGTGCAATCACTCCACTGAATTTTTTTGCAGACAATATTTGAGTGCTGGCCACATGACCAATGGTAGTAATTATTATTATAGATAGTTCCTCCCATTATTATTATACATTATTTTGGGTATCTTATTTATAGTGGTTTATTTTGCAGAACCTGAAAGAGTCAGGATTCCCCACAGATGACATCATAGTGAGGCCATTGGAGGCTCAAAAGAGTGATCTCCTTCTTGTACATACTAAAAAGTACTTGAAGTCATTAAAAGTAAGTAATAGGTCTGCTATTGTTGGCTTATTTAGGAGAATGCTTGTCTTCTGTATTGAAGATCTAGATCTGGGGAGTCATAATCACTTGCTGATGTTGAGGAATAACATTGTAATGAAACCTGCATGTCATAGAAGATAAATAAAACTGTTCTTAAGACATATGAAGTCCTTACGTAGCCAGTGTAGTGGGATTGTGTAAACAAAAAATCAAAATATGACTTGATGACAAATAGATTATATCTTTGAATGCGCAGATCCTTTATTACCTCATTGTTCCATAACAGCATTGAATATCCAGACCAGACAGGTATTTAACTGGTGAGAGCAGCTTCAGAAGAAACAGCAGTTTTCTTATCATAACCTCATCAGCACTCGGAGCACAGTGATGATGGGATGGTTTAGAGTTGGTTTCCCTGTAGGAGTGAGAAAACTAACTTTTCTGAATTGAATTTGATCTGAGTGGTCTGTGTTATAGTTAAGTCCATTATTTACAGTAGAAAACACATTTGTATATGTCTATGCTGCATTGTTTACTTGCTGTAATACTATTGCTTGTTGAAACAGGTCTCCTTTTGCATTGATTTTTGGATAACGAGTCTTGCTCAGGTTCTCTTAGTACAGGCTATATAAAACCAGATAATTTGTGTGATTGTGGCACATTATTTGTTCAAGCTGAGGGCCAACAGTAGATAAGTTTGTAAAGTAACTAATGCTATTGTGCACAATGTGACTCTTCTAACCATCCATTTTTGGCATGGAACCTCAACTCCACCCAAGGTACAAGGTCAAGAGCACGTCAAGCTTGATGCTTAAGATTTAAATCCAACTCTTAAGCTGCTTACGATAAGAATGGTCCAAAGTACAAAGTGTCAAGCTTGATGTGCTCTTGACAGTACTATTCCAACCTCTTTAATTTTATTTACTCTGTGGAGACATGGTTATTTTTTGTATAAGAAATAATTACGTATTTGACTGCCATCTCACCAGGTGGAAAGTGATGGTGACGTTGGCGATGGAGCATACACACCTAAACGTTGCCTATTCACTCTCGCCTTGAAGAGACTCAAGTTATAGAGTTCAGGGAGGGAGGGTCTGTTGGCAGGGAATTCCACCACACGATCGCCGTTCGCTATATATGTGGAAGTATAACGCTTTGTGCAAATCCTTGGTATAGCCAATTTGTTATGCTAAATGTACAAAGCGGGGATGATGAGTGCAAGTAAAGTTGGGTGGTAGATTTGTCCAAGGGATGTGGGAAGCCCATGTCCAACTAGGTTAAAAAAATTACTTGTTCATGATAATGATGGTGGGATGAAAAGAAGCTAAGTGATTATTGTTGCTGGAAATCTATAGTATATATGGAACCTATTGTATGTTTCAGTGGAGTACAAAAGTAGCTGTAATAACAGAAGTGCCAGTTGTTGCTTTGTTACCCAATGCCATTGTCCAGTATTCGTATCTGAAGCCCATGAGGTACGCGTTGCATTTGTGATCTAAATCATAACCTGTACCTACTCATCTATTTATTTATTTAATAATTATTAAATATAAAAACTACAATTATTAAAGCGATATCTCTAGTTAGCTGCTGGTAGCTGTGCTTGAGTGTAGAAATAGATTTCTCACAGATGGCGCTACGACAAAAAGCCGTTAAAACCAAAAACAAAGATCTGCATCAAGTACATATTATATTAAAGTACAAATATTCGTAAGATCCGTTGGTTCGTTCCGTGGCTTAGTTGGCATAGCGTCTAGCACGGTTAGCTAAGAGACGCTTGTTCGAATCCAGCGGGATCGAAAGAATTTTTTCTTAGTGTTTTTCGATCTTTGTATTAATAATTTTAACAAACTAGTGGAGAAATTTCACAAAAATAATTGAATATCATGGTGAAACATAGTGACATTCAATAAAAACTTCTCAAAATCACATATGTTGTTCTAATCTCAAACTAAGCAACTAAAGCAGTTGTATTATGGAAAACGGAAACAACAACGGTACCACAAAGGCACAAACACACAGAATGTAAAAAGTATTAACATCAAGTTTTTTATACCTATCATAAAGAAAGAACTGGAAGTACTTATTTGCCACTATAACACTTATAATTGAATTTCTTTAAAGTACTTATATCACCACTATATGGAAACTTGTGAACTAAAATTGCAGGTTACAAACGGGGGGGTCAGTGCTCGCTGGTAAGTTAGCACTAGAGCGCGGCTGGGCTATCAACGTAGGGGGTGGGTTCCATCACTGCAGCGCGGATCGCGGTGGCGGATTCTGCCCGTACGCGGATATCACGTTGCTCATACAGTTTCTTTTCACGACCGGACGGATACAGAACGCTATGATCGTCGATTTGGATGCTCATCAGGTTATTTGACATATGCACTTTTAAACTACAATTGTATAGGTATTTTCAACCCGTGTCCATAGCCAGTGTAAACTGGCCGAAACGTCGGGGAATTTAGATAGGTTTGAAAATGCCTATTAAATTGCTTATACACGTTTATTCCCGTTTTCAAATGTTTGGCAGAAAAAAATTGGAGATGTTTGCTCGCAAACTGCTTTCTAAATGAGTTCCAGCTGCTATTTTGCAATTCTTTTTTGTATAAAAAATAAGCGCTTATTTGAGCGCCATTTCACCTTGGAAATTGACGATGAGATCTTCTATGGAGCATACACACCTAAATGTTACCTATTCACTCTCGCCTTGAAGAGACTCAAGTTTTAAAATCAAGGAATAGGTCTGTTGGCAGGGAATTCTATGTATTCGGCGTGCAGCTTGCGCAATTACGTACTTAAAGTTTCTCACATACAAAGCAAAATCTTGCCATGTAAAAGTTGCTTTACTAAACTAAAGAATAATGTGGACATTCCCTTCTACAAATCCCCGGGATTCTCGGAACTGCCTATATTTAAGTATGCGTACCATTTATTGAATTTTGAGTACATTAGCGACAAATTATTATTTGAGGAACATTTAGGGAATCACCACACTTATGAACGCAGAATCGTATTAGGCCGATCAGAATAAGCTTTATATTCATAAAAGTAAGAGCGGAAAAGACGTGCGTTTCACATTGGTACGTACGAACGCGACTCGCCCTTTTTTCCTATATCTATGGGCTCGCCACAGGTCGGCAACGAATTGGTTTCCTGCGAATTTCCGATCGAGTCCGTACGTATGCCGACGACGACCCGGTTTAGAGACAAGTAAGTTTAAGTATGGTTGAACACGACCGCATCAAGACGAATCCGCGTCAATAAGTTTGGTGACTCCCTTATTCGTTCGTCCAATTACCGGATATTCAATGTTAGATCGCGAACGGTTGTTGTGAAAAACTGATGTTTTGCTTCTACTCCAGGGAAACGGCTACGAGCATGATTTTCTGGGTGTATCCGAGGTGTACATAATGGATATGTACAATCGAAATATCTACCCGCGGGACCGCGTGGCAAAGCAGGCCATTCGACGCAAAATCGAGCTCGGGAACAAGGTCGAGGATTTAGAATATATGCTCAAGTTACGCACGTAAGTATTAGTGATTCGAAAGTTCTCACAAGGCTTTTTTTATGGTACCAAGTCACGGGATGAACAAGTCGTGGGCCTGGTCGTGGGAGCAACACGCCTGTCCATAACAGCTGCAGTGCTACTCAGAGCTTAAAATCGCAAAAATCTGAGCGGCGGTGCCACTGCGCCCGTCACCCGCGACATAAGTTGACAAGTCCCATGTGGCTGTAATTTTACCTACTCTCATACCCTTTAAAACCAGAACGCAGTAATGCTCATATTACTGGCTGTAGAAATAGGTGAGGTGGCAGTATTTCGTTGGACGAACTCTTACGCAAGGAGCTCTACTGCTATCAAAACAACGAGTTTTTACGTTTCCGCAATTGTTACAGATTGGAAATAAAACTAATTTGTCTCCGGACAATAGCAAACTACTTTTATTTTAGTGCTTTTAATAATTCACACAATCCTTTGTCAAAATTCCTAAATAAGAGCGTGGTATCATGAGCTTCTCTGCAACTGCATCATAACTGTTGTCCGCTATTGACTATACAGCTGACGTGCTGTCTAAATGCACTAGCGTCGATTGCAACTTGTGTGACTTAACCTTTAGCCAAATTCTGGACTAAAAGAAGTAATGCCGATTGAAATGTTGTTCCAGAAACTTGAAGGCGGCTCTGGAAGAGTTCACGCCCGACATCGTGGTATATAACGCTGGCACAGACGTGTTGGACTCGGACCCGCTGGGACTCATGAGGATTAGTGAAATTGTGAGACTTTTTTACCGTTTTGCTCTTTTACGACTTAATTGATTATTGTATATTATTTAATTGTAATGTACGACTACTACAGGCTTCTTGATATATAAAAAAAATCATTAGAAGAAGTGACACTGTTGGTCAAGTGCCGAATGAAAAATTTATACTTTTCGAGAATACATTTTAACCCATTGAAATCATTGTTCTAACCGACAGATGGCCTCAGGCCTCAGTGCCTCGAGTAAAAAGAGTACGCACTAGGGTGCTTAATGAGGAGGTCCATGTTTCGATTCCCAGTAGTATCAATTTAGGAAGTGGGAACTTTACAAATAATGTTCTAGATGCATTGGGTTGTAAGAGAGTTCTGTTGAATTTCCATTTCGTAAGTCAGGCACTCAATATAGGGAATTTGGAATTTAAATTTCTAAAAGGGAGAGTCGGTATTAACGGCACAGTTCGCCGTGGTTAGGGATTCAATTCAAGAAACGACGATCCGGAACTGGAGGAACGCTACATTCTGTATTTGTATTGGAACTTAGTACAAAAGTTCAATAGCTTCAAGTTCTTAGCGAGGTTGGCTGGAATTGACCTGACGTTTCCGCGGCGATTGTGATGAGTATGAGATTAGCCGACTGTATGGATATTTTAGTTAACATACACAAATGATTTTGACGCTGAATGTACCTCGAAAACTAGTAAAAATTTACTGTAACATTTCAGGGTATAGTAAAAAGAGACGAATTCGTGTTCGAAATGTGCGTAAAGCGGGGAATCCCCGTAGTGATGCTCACGAGTGGGGGGTACCTTCGCAAGACGGCCAAGATCATCGCCGACTCCATCATTAACCTGCGCAACAAGGGCCTTATCGGCGGCAAGGAATTAACATTTTAGAAAACGTATTGTTAGACAATGGCCGTATGCATGGGAACCACAAATCAAACTACGTCATCCCAAAAATACTTATAGGACATGTGAACTGTATTGTACAGTCCTATATTTTTTTACATTTAATGTTTATGATCACGATGACGGGGTTAAATGTGTTTTAACCTCTTTGTTCTAAACATAATATACAGGTTGTTCCACGGCTATGCGACTTGGATTGTAGATAGGATATTTTGCTTCATGGAGACATATTTTTAAAAGTAAGTAATACTGTAGTCAAAGATTTTAAAAAAGTTATGGCCCCACCAGGGAATCGAACTGACCAAATGTGAAAAAAAAAATTCTGTAATTTTATGATGCCGTTTTTTATGATCATTTTATGTTTTTTCTTTTCACATTTGGTTGGTTCGATGTCTAGATTATGCAAGCAACTTTTTAAAAGTCTTTGAATGCTGTAATTACTTTTAAAAATAAGATAATATCTCCATGAAGCAAAATATCCTACAATATTTAAAGTACGTTTCGCATAGCCGTGGGTCACCTGTATATTCCATGAAACAGTAATCTCGCAGACTTATGCTTTATTCAATAAATGAATAAAAATTTAAACAATATCGTCGCTAAAATGAAATTTGTGATCCATGGTATTTTTATCTTAAACGGTGTCATTTAAAATTAAGCGAATTTAAACCTTATTTATATTATTATTTAAAGGCTCATAAGTTACATTTACACCCTTACCATACTGCGGAACTAATAACTGCTGTGGATAATTTTGATATTGATGTTAAAAATCATTACTACCACCACCAGGTTAGGGTCAATTGGTAACTTGTCAACCTGTAAATAAGTGACTGGCATACTTATTAGTGCTCGTAGTAAAAAGTTATATTTCATATACTATCTCTTAGGTTTACTTTACATTGCTGCGAAACGGAATGAAAGTGAATTTTTGTAACGAAATTGTAGATAAAATGTTTATTTTATAGTGTTTTTATAAAGCACAAGCAAGACAAATGTAATACTATACAAAACTTACATATTAGAAAGTTTTAATTAGAAAATATCCTCGAGAGCCGCAACCGCACATCCGGAAAGCTAGCAACATTTCCCTTTTGAATAAACTTATTCTTTGGCGCAAATACTGCCAGTTGTGGGCACCGGAGGCTTCTAGGAGGCGATTTGACAGTTTCGCCTGCGCCCCCAGTGACCCTGTAGCGCTGAGCAAAGTTGTCCTTTTGCGGTTCTCGGCCACTCTGGCGACAGAGCCTGCGCCACGACCCATAGCTTAATGAACTTTATTTCAACTGTGTAACGTACAAATTAGCGTAGTATCTAGTATATACGTTGCACAATTGATAGTTCACGTCCATTCCGTTCCGATGTAAATTGAGCCTTAAAATAGGAGTTAAAATCGCGCCAAATAGTGCTGACTGATATAGTGATGATTTAAAAGATGTTTTGGAAAGTGTGTAAACTTAAAACATTAGTACAATATTAAATAAATAGATACCTTATAATATCGTGCTGATTCACCTGCATTGTCTAGTCATAATTATAGTGCCAATATTCAGACAAAATTAGGTAATTTGGGATTGGCACGCGTAAGTGGAAAAAAAGAGGGGTATTGAACAGCACAAATAGTACTTATTATTCGCTCATAGTTCCAGTTTCTACCTATATGATGGGATTTGGAAGTAACTAACATTCCATAGGAATAGGAAATGATATAACAGAATATTTTTCCTCATACAATATATTTCCATATAAATAAATTATTCACTAATAAAAGCGTCGTTTTATTGTAATTTAAAACTACCCTGAGTTAATAATTGAAAAAGAGTATTTATTTTTATACGTTTATTAAAATGATAAAAATTTCAATGCAAATAAATACACAATCTACTTATCACTGCGAATTTCCTAAATTATTAGTTTTTTTGTAGTCGTTTTTTTGTTGTGCTTAAAAACAGAAAAAAAGGTTTAGAACAAAACGGAACGTGGAAGGACCAGGAGAGGATGTAATTTTAGGCAATTGAAAAAAAAAGTATAAATTAAAAGCAATTTGACAACATTAAAATGTGCTGTAATTTTAAACTACTCGGTTGTGAAATACTTGTTATATTTAATCTGAAATACTATAATGCTTTTCAGTGAACCCAATTATATATTTCTTATTCCACGGCCATATTTTTTTCTGTTTTATGGCCTCATGAACGATAATACTTGAAATGGTAACTGAATTTGTGTTTTAACTAGCTTGTTTTAAATGTTCTTTTCACTGTTTGTGGTTTAAAAAAGACAGCAATTACTAAGTGTTGTCAAATTAATATTAGTATTATATTAGTCCATTTCATTACATTATACAGGAAAAGTAAAGAAACAGGTCACTGACCCGAGTAAAGACGGTTTAGCGATGGCCAAATTGTACTGCCAACTTTTTCTTTATAGTAGGTATTGAAAAGTAAGCCATGTCGTATAAGAAGGTCAGTGAAAAGTTTTGCAGAGAACAGAATGGCGTTTCCTACACGGTCAAGAGCCTAGCTCTTAATTCTCAGAGGAATAGTTCACATGGATTTTTAACAAAGCATCGACTCCTGAGGTAGTTCACACTCGAAACCTTCATTAAGCAAAAAGCCCTATATTATATTTATAAGTACAGCATACACTAAGTTTAGCTGACAAAGTGTCGCATTACTTATAAATAAGAGATTCTACAAAATGAGTTATCGGTGGGACGCACCTTAACGATATACAATGTGTCAAAAAAGTTAATGTGAGTTACGTAGCATTCCAATTTGCTGTAGAAAACATTGTTTATACTTTTCAGGGTGTTTCACACGCGAAACCTTCATTAAGCACAACATGTACTAAGTTTTGCTGACAAAAGTGCCGCATTTAAATGTAAGATTCTACAAAATGAGTTATCGGTGGGACGCACTTTAAAGATATACAATGTGTCAAAATAGTTAAAAATTGCACCTTACGTGGATTACCTGGTGTTCTAATTAGCAATAAAAAATAGTGATAGTTTGTATTTTGTATAGTGTGATTGTGATTGTGCAAGAAACACGCAATTTATAAAAATCCAAAAATACATGTCTTGTATAAGTTGTAAAATCTTAAGTAATAACGTTAATAAATTAACAAAAGGGCTTAAAGGTATTTTAAAAATATTGGCAATTTTTGCTTCTTTTTTCACACTCGGCTAGATAATTCTATGTAACAATAATTCCATTACAATAGAATTCCATCATAATATAATATTGAATAACCTGTTACGACTTTTTAAAACTCATAATAATAAAAAACTAAATAACGAGCAGTAGAAGTCATGGAAACCTACCAAAAGGACGTTAAAACCCCATGAGAGCCGGGCAAAGTCCATTACGCTTGACATGCAACTCTCGACCTTAGTTGTGTGACAGATCTAAAAATATTGTTGTTACTCATGAATTTATAGAGAGTGAAATAGTCCATGCTATAGTGCAGCTCGGAAGTGTGGTAATTCCTATTAATTATATAGGTAGAGCTATGACGTTACCTTAAAAGGAACAAATGAATTGAAAACTGTCCGGTTACTGGTCTAGAATAATTATTAATCTACATACACATATACTTCACGCTATTTTCCCTCGGGGTAGGCAGAGACAACATCCTTCCACTTGCTACGGTCCTGACACACAATCTTCGCCCCATCAACACGCCTCAGTGCTTTCATACACGCTCGTCGGTTAAGAGTACTCTTGAACTGGACCTTCTTTAGAACGGCCTCAATATGGTATGGTAAGTACGCTTTTAATTACAATAGATACTGAACTTAAATTAATTAGTCCTTTTAACTTCGTAGATTGCATACACAACGATTTATTATAGGACAACTACGATAAAAATGTGTAACAGTTCTATCACATAGTTATAAAGAGACTGCAAAACAATTTTCGACTCACTTGTCCTGTCATGAACTGGTACAAAAAAAAAACGGTCGGCGACGTCATAGTCTAAAGATGGCTTTTCCACTGGCAAGACAAGACGAGACGAGGATTGAAAGTTGTGTGACAAAATTTCAAATCTCTATCAGCGCATCGTCGTCGGTGGAAATGGTCTGAATTGACGAGGAAGTGCGAATCGAAATATTTGCTGGTGTAATATTGAACCTTGCTCCTGCGTACATAAAGTTCTATATCTTAAATCGTACGTACCATACAATCTCGCGATTAATATCAGTAGCCATCGCGAAGCCTCGCGCGTGCTCGCGCAAGTCCGCCGAGCTCGCGATGGATCGCGACTTTGTAGGTACGCATGATTTAAGATATAAGAAACTACTATTTTTCTACAAATAATTGCAAAGTGCCCTACAGTCGAAATTTAAAAATTTATTAACTAAGTAATTTACTCTATTGGTATATGAACATTTTTATTTTACTACCCACAACTTCAACGCGTGCTCGCGATAGCTATTAATGGCAATTATTTCGAGATTTCAACACTCGTCTCGGCTCGCCTTGTTTCGTCTTGTCTCGCCGGTGGAAAATACCTTTAGACGAATACTTATTTTATACTACTACCAATAGAAAGCGTAGTTTCAGAACAAAGTTACAGGTTCTGTGTAAGAGCTTTAGTAAGGAAATGGCCTAAAGAACAGGTTCGACATTATATTTTTATGTGGTATTTGTTTATCTACCCGCTCTCATTGGTGTGTACCTAGATGTTAGAGGCGAATATATTCAATCGTTCATATAACCGATATCCTCTCCTAACTAACTCCTGGTGTTCAATATTCGCAAACTATGTATAAATGTGGTAGTAACATGAATAGTTTATCTGGTAGTTGTATTGAATTGTGCGTAGTAATCGTCCGTAGGTGTATTATTGTAGACAACTTCTCGGAAGTACTTCTCTTTTTCTTTCTGCTGCAATGCCATTAGTTGGTTCTCTTCCATGAGCTGACGGGCTATTTCCCTGTTGATATTATTATATTAGATCAGTTTGAAGTGATATTATTGACAATTATGACAATTATCACGATAAATTATCTTGATAAATATCATTGGAACAACAAAATGCTGCCGCAATTAATGTCATGCCATGTGTTTGTATCAGAGACGTGTCAATAATGTCAATCCCATTAAAGTAACAAAACTAATAGTTTTCCCTAAGATTTTTCTTCGTGTTTATTAAGTTTTCTCACTGTTTGTCATCCATCATCTACGAATCAGCATGGATAATTATCGGATATGTAACGGATAATTATTATTATAATTATCAAAGAAAATAAATATCTTGATAATTTTGAATCCTGTGTTAGATAGATTTATGCAATAATCATAATTCTTGACAACTAGATAGTACATAGTAATTCGAATTTTGTTGCGTGTGAACGACATTTTAAAATTTATAATAGTCAGGGCACTAGCGACATTTAGAGAATGTGTAAAAAAACACTTAGATAAATTCCGAATTACAAATCAGACCGGGGAAATGCATTCCCGTGACTATATTAAGACACTAGGCAAGTACCTGCGCCTCCTCTTGTCTTCGATATCGAGGCGTTCCGACGTGCGCGAGATGGACTTGGCCAGCGCCTGCCATTCCGCTTCCATTCTATCTTCAGCTTCGCGTTTTGCCTGTACACAAAAGAAAAAGTGTACATATTATTATGTACACGACTATAGGGAAAAGTTCGACAGATAAAGAATGTTTCGTTTTCTATAGTTAGGGGTAAGTACTTACATTAAAATATACACACAGTATTAAATCTCCAAGGCTCAAAAAAGTTTGATTGATCTATTATGCAATTTTGAAATTGGTATATTACAGGCCTTTGAGTATATAACTAGAAATAGAGACGAAATAAGGGCCACCCATCCCTGGCAACTCATCAGGCAAATTAGGCCTTTATTATATCACTATTAAATATCGACTTTGCGCTTTAGCGTTTGCGCTAAAATCACAGATTAGAAAACTTAAATAGTACAGATTAGAAACTGAAATAGTACAGCGCCAACAACTGACCTGTGTGTCGTCTCCGTATATTCTAAAAATATTCTGTATTTATTGTAATAAAGATAAAAGATAACTATAGCGGGTTGTTCCATTTGGTGGTATGGGAAAAACAGCAAAACATCTAATTACAAAACAAATCATGTCATTGACAATGAAATATTAAATATGTAATTTTTCAATTAACGTCCATTATAGCAAAGCTCAAGTTAAACTGGTCCATTTGAAGTAAAACAATTGACGACACCTGTCAATTGTTTCGAATTCAGGCTGGCCAATCGGATCGCAGTTGTCGCCGTAATGATATGGCAGAATAGTTATCAAACATATTAAATGACATTGTCTCTATTTCTGGTTATATACTCGATGTTACAGGCCTACCGTTTAATTGAGTCGGTTCCTGGGGCTTGTGCTCTCGATCTCCGTCCGAAACAATTACTGTCAAATAAGTAATATTCGACAAAATTTAAAGACAAGCATCAAGTATGAAGCTTCATTCGCATCACGCATCTTTTCATTTAGCCAAGTATTGCTTATTTGGCAGTAATTGTTTCGGACGGATGTCGGACGGAGATCGAGAGTAGACCCCCTGAGGTAGCTGCGCGGTGCGAGAAGAGTGACAGATTACGTAACAGTTATATCGCGGTGCACACGGGATAATTTTCAATAAGATTTTTCTGACGATATTCAATAACAAGTTGATTGAAAAAAGAGCCTACCGAGCCTACCAAATTAGTCAATCGCTGTTATGTGAAAAAAAAAGTATTTCATTGATAATTGAAATGAATAGACAAGCCATTTGGCTTTTACGTGTCCGAAAGTAGGTATATATTTTAAAGAAAAATAAGCTTTAGCGGCTAACAACGAATGACAAAGGCTTGAAATATGCTTGTCGGCGAGCCACTGCTCCAGTCAGTTGGTAAAATTTTCTAACCTGACATTTTTATTTCTGGACATTAATAATTGTTAAAATAAAAGTTACCTTAGAAGCGGCCATTTGTTCTTTCTGCGCAGCGTAGAACTTCTTCAATTCCTCCTGGTTCATACCCTTGTACATATAGCCGATAGCTCTGCAATTTGCATTTTATAAAAGCAAGGAGAACAAGTGCACAAGTACCTACTAGAAATTCATAACATTTATTCAGCGTGTTTAAAGAAAGTTATTAATAATCATTATCAATAACTAAAGATTCGTCGTCCACCAAAGCGAAGAAGGTTCGTAATCTATTTAAATAACTAAAACGATTGAAGAAACAACCAAGAATAAAAGATTATTATGACACCTCGAAAAAAAAAACACTACACTGCTTTGGGGCGGACAATCGACCTATAAAGCTGCATGATTTTGATTGAAATCGCAATCGAACCGATCGGGTAGTCTGGAAATCAGATGGGTTTCCGAGCGAGAAGATGAACATAATTCCTACTATGTCTTTCTAATTTGCGAGTTAAATCAACTATTGTTCCGATTTGAAATGTCAAAAGTTTCCGATCGGCCAGTTGTGAATCGCAATTATGCGCCTCGACTCGGAAAAGACGCAGTTTCCGATCGGGAGAGGCAATCAAAATCAAGATGCTGATCCTCCTTAATATCGTATCGATGACATTATACTATACTAGCCCAGAACTCGGCCACGCCGATCGCGTTACTCATAGCCAACCATTGACTTACAAATAAATGAACGACGGGTCTAATACAAAAACCATGAAAAAAATATCCCAAGTCAACCTATTTAAACGTAGAGGAATATGAAAAAGCTAAAACGTTGAATTTAAATTGTAATGTCATCACAGTACTGTCTAATTTTGCTTGCTTCGCTGTCAGTCGAACAAACGAAGACTAAAGCGTGAATGACGCTCTGTATACGATTTTAACGCCCTATAAGTTCGGACACTTTTTAGCGCGGACCCGACGTCCATATAATTGTAAGTCAATGTAGCCAACCATTAAATTCTCAAGCATGCCGGTTTTAGGGCACGCATAATCCAGGCTCCAATCCATAGACCCGGTTGGTATTGTGAAATACGCTACCTGTTGGAGCCAAGTGCACTCTTGGAGACATCAGGGTTCTCCGTCAACATATCGGAAGTGAGGTTGTTGTACATCTCCGCGCAGTTATCGGCTTCTTCCTGTTCTTTCATCACTTGTTCCAGTTGTTTCTTTTCCGCCGCCTGCGGTATTTCAACAGTATGGAGTTTAGCAAAGTAGGACAGAAGAGATTTCCAACTTTCTCTAGCTATCCCCTCGAAGCTCAATGTAAATTTAGCGGGCTCAATCAAAAACATCTGTTATAAGTCCGTGGACTACAGTTTTAGTTTTTAGTTGGCAAATAGATTTAAAGTTTAGTGGACTCATATACTGCAGCCCCGACTTATGTATATGTAGCTACAAATATCCACCACCAATACACAACCACCACCTACAATAATCCACTAAGTGCTCCACAGGTGGGAATACTTCACTAACCAAAGCTTCATTGTATCTCAAGTTGGCTTGTCCCAGTCTGTACCGACACTCACGCTCGAGTTTATCCAGCTCTCCAGCTCTTGCGTCGCGTGCTTTTATAGCCATCTGAAAAAGAAGATTACATTGTGATGTTAGATGAAGTCGGATAAAATCTAGTGTTTGTGCATCACTCGATTTTAATAAGCATTATCAAGAATCAAAATTGCAATTTAAGCACAGAAATAGGCCAAAATGCGATAGTACCTACAGTCGATGCCCTAAGATATCTGACCTTCTTATCCGAATCATTTGGCTCTGAATAGATAAATGTGAAGAAAAGTTTTAAACAAAGTTAACCTTTAAACTGTGAGCCGTAAATTCATTTTGGTAATAAATTACTTATTGCATCATTAGTGAATGACGTTTTGAGAAACTTTTAAAGTCAATTTGATCTTTAATTATATTACATAAATACTAATTTTAACCACAAAGCTGGCGTTCCTTTACACTTTTCTGTTAAATTCTTAAGACGGTCGTAGAACCAAAAGGTCAGCTAGGAGGGTAGCCGTCTTACTTAGGCCATCAGCTGTACCATTTTATTTACTAAAAAATATTATTAATTATAAATAGATGCAATTTTATCTACAGTGATTACTTTGAATGATGTCCAAGGAAAAAACAGTGTAAGCGTCCTTGGCAATAAGAACTTATTTACTTCTGTCATATTGAATATCTATGATAGTGACTATGTTTGTAAGGAAGGTAAAGTCAAACCATATAGGCGGCTTCGGCCTGACGCCGCTCGGTTTCTGCAGCTTTGCGTTCTTGAACCTGCTGTTCAAGCCACGCGTTGCGCTGTTCCGCCATTACTTTTCGACGCTCCTCGTAGTTCAAGTCTTCACCTTCAAATCTGAACGTTTTATGTGGTTTAGCCTTTCTAGGTCCACAATTAAAAATAGTTTCTCCTACCGAGACTGACAATAAAAGTTACTTTCAACTTTAATCAAACAGTTATCGACTTATTAGTTTAGGATCTCTTTGTTCTCTCTCCTTAAAATAAATGACATTATGACGAAGGCGGAATCTCACGAAAATCTTTTAAGTGGTCGAAGCTGAATTGAAATTATGAATAAAACGATTTCTGACGAAAACGGAGTACGATAGACGTGTTTTTATCGAACATCCTACGCGTGGAATTTTTATCTGCGAATATCAAAAATTGTATTAAGTGCCTTGTTTTTTATCCAAATCCCTTTAGTTTTCTGGGTTTAAGACTGTCTGTATCTGACAGATATCTATCTGTATCTAGGCATGTAAAATCCACCAACCTATATTCGGATCGATAAGTTTTTAAAACTTTTTCTTACACTCGTATGTATGAGAGAAGGCACATGGATTAATAAGGACTCACTTCTGAGCGCTAGACTTGCCCACAGGTTCACCGTCACTAGCACGCGGTGGAAGTTGCTTCTTCAGGACATCAGGGTCGTTGAGGTCGAACTCACGCCGATCCTCGGGCCTTTGGAACTTGGAGCGAAACAGGTCTATTTCTGCGCAGATGCGACGTCGCTCCTGGTCACAAAAACTAAAAGTTACCACGGCTGCCTTCAGAATTTAAATTTAAACTCTCCCGCACAGACAGACGTCAGAGTTATTTGTAATTCCATTTCGGGGTTTAATAAGACATTGTAGAAGAGGCGGGAAGTAAGGGACGAGTATGAGTTACAATTACAAGGACGAGCGCGAACGAGGCCTTGTAATAATACGAGTCAAGCAATCCCCGTTCCCGCCGAGGCATGTATAGAATTTTTCTCAAACAACGTGAGGAAATAATAAAAGACTAAAGAGATGAACATGTGTAATAGCAAAAGTAAAAAAAAAAAATGTTAAAATTAACACTTGACGTGATACGATAATTGTTAAAAGAAAATGTTATTGTTTTCGCAGGCACATTAATACTAGTCTGCTGAACTTCTGATGATGTATTTAAATGTGTATCTATTATTGTATTTTTGTTATCTTTCTACTCACTAAATGAGTGCATTTTCGCGACCAAAATACAAGAAAGACGACAAACTAAAAGAATACCATAACAATGTTAACGCCATTTTCTTTTTTTTTTAAGTAAGCAGTACTGGTAGGTATTTTAATTTCTCGCAATAATTGCGAGATTTTGCGACATTATGAACACTGGTCAATTGGCTGTACGAGTTTTTCTTTTGTCCGTTTACATAGTTCGTTATGAGGTAGATTTAAAAGTCTAGAGTAGAGGACAGTAATCGATTTTCATACTTACTTTGCAGGCCTTGGCCGGAAAGAAGTCGCATGGTCTATAAATGACAAACTTTCCGTGTTCGTTTTTTGAAAGTAATGCAAACGTTTTTATCACTAAATTGGCTTACTAATACTGTGGCGTAACGACCACCATATAACATGCAGCAAAGCGAGCCCAAAAATGACAAATCGAAACTAGCAAGGAAAATTTGTAGATCAATCTCTTTTCTAAGTGTTTTCTTTACATTACTGATTACCATCCTGAGAATTTCTGGGTTTATATTATATATAGGGGTTGAATGGTGGCCCATAGCTTAGGAACAAATAATATTTCCAAAAAATGGACTAGACTTTGAAGCCAGGTAATTGATATAATTTTTTGTCATATTTAATTCTAGTACCTAGTCTTAAGATCAGCTATTCAAAATATTTTAGTTAGTCAAAATCCCAGTGCATCCAGCGTCTATGGATGACAAGCGTCCAGCCTCCAGGGTGACCAGCAAGCTGACTGACCGATAACGTGGACAAACTTCTAGATTGCAAGGCATTCAAATTATACCGATTTTCTTTTAGACAAAAAACGACGAGGGCGTCCTAACTAAACCTCTGACGAGAGTAGACGACTCCTCTTACTTACAATTTGCAGACACAATTTGAACTTACAATTGTGCAGACAGACCATATAACCTGAGAAGGTTGTAAACCCTAATGAGCCGTGACCAGGTTCACGGCAATAAAATAGAATACTTCGGTCCGCAAAAAAATTATTCATAGTTAAATCGAAAGGGAAAAAAAAAGGTGGTAACAAAAAAGGTATATATAAAAACAGATACAACGCTACAAAACTCTCCCTACGTTTTTCAAAACACTACAAAAGTGAGACAGACTTACTCCGAAAGGGCCGAGTTACAGATTGGTATTAAAATTGGTAAAAGAATCAAAATTAGACGCAATTAAAAATTAGAGCAGTACTGTTCGCTGCCGCGATAGAGCAGGGAGTAGCGATGGAACGAAACAAAATCAGACTGGCGAGGCAATGGAATTAAAGAACGATTCAAAATTTAAAAACAAGTGGCCAGGAACCGGAGAAAAGGCGATAAAAAGGTGGGATGACGATGAAGGAGGTCACATCGTCACAATCCAGTTAATAAGTAAAACCATTAGAAAGAATATTCCCATTATTCTGCTAGGTAGAAAACATTAGTATAGCTATTACATTGACGTTAATTATGCAGTAGGGAATTATCATTTCACTGAGATCAAAGTCCGGTTGGTGATAGGTCGTTATTAGTTTCCTAGTGTATTTCACGTGATTACTGGTCACTCTTGGGTCAGCTTGGATTTCCTATTGCATTTTTATCGTCATTGGCGGAAGATTAGCATAGAAGTAGTTGAATGAAGTAGGTACCTCTCTCTCCCTAGCTTCGAGCACTAGGGCTACGTCGCTGTCTTTGATCATCTGTTTAGCGAAGGCCAGGTTCGTGCGCTCGGCTTCATCGCGCTCCGCCCTCTTCTCCACTATTTGGCGTTGCAGGAACGGTAAATCAACCTGGAAATAAGGATTTTCATCAAACATGATGATGTAGAATCGTCATATTAAACAACATTAACAACTTATCGCTCGGTCTATTTCATACAAAATTATAGTTTTGATGTTTTTGTCAGATGATATCTACTGATACTATCTCCAAGAAATGGGTAGATAGAAATTGAGAATATTTTCTTACGCCAATTTTCCTGTTACGAGCATTGAAAATTCTGGCTCGCCTTTCGAGCTCGCATTGTCGTCGCCTCTCTCTGTTCTGCGCCTCTTTGCGATCCTGATCATTGGAAATCTGTAATTTCATCATTTTCACACCTTCCTTTTGCTAACACCTCCGAAAAATACACACGAACGCTACTAAAATTAGAACAAAAATATGTTTTCGCTAACGATAATGCTAACGAACAAGCAAATTCATGTTGCTATGGAAACCGTTTTTTATCATTTTCAAAGGTGAATTGAGTTAGATTCTATTTATAAACTTTAGACGGCCAGCTGCTTTTCTTTTTAACCGATTTGAAAAACAGAGGAGATTCTCAATTCGCCTGTATTTTTTTGTGTCTGTTACGCGATTACTCCGAGATTTGTAAACCGATTTGGATTCTTTTTTGATGGAAAGTGGATACCTCTGTAGTGGTCTTATTCAAATTGGAAGAAAATATTCCTCCTCTAAGGGTGGCAAATTAGGGACGAATCTGGTTTATTGAATTTCGCCCACTCTCCGTTAACCGATTTCAATAAGATTTGGCACATAGACATGGATATGGATAAGCAAACTTTTGAGATCAGTTTTTTTTTTATTTAAATTAAATCGTTGCGCAGGTTTATTGTGGTATTTACTGACAACCTTGCAGGACTAGATTGCTAATGACTTTTTACAAAACATAATAAAATCAAAAATAAACTTTTGTTGTACTGAGACTTTTTATTTTTAGAACTGTATTTGTTAGTAAGGTTCGAATGGCAACCGTCCTCCCCGACGACAAACCCTACTCGCGCTCTTGCATTTTACACAGAGTTATCCGTGTTCAGAGCGATCTATTTATAATTTTTACTTTTGTATGAAGCAAAATGTGGTGAATTATTAAAAGTCATGGAACAAAAGTAGTTATTTATGATGTTAGTAATACAGTCCTACGAGGCTGTTGTTCTTTTACAAATAACCCTTTATTTGTAAAAGAATAACTAATAAAATAACTAATAAATAAATTGTCCACAGTAGTTGTGATATTGTGTATGAAGGCAAAAGTTTAAGTTAGATATTTAATGTTTGAATTTACGTAAAAAGTACTTCAACCAAAAATACATTTCACACGTGCTTCAGAGATTGAAAGAATGTCATGTTTGATGTCACAAATCGTTTAGTAGAAGAAAGAGCGGTTTGTTTAGTCAGTTTCAGAGCGGGATGAGTGTGCCGCTTCGGCGGAATCGCGGGCGTTGCGTAGTAGGTGAGCAGAAGCCAGCGCCACCCGCATCCGACCGTGCAGGCTCGTTCAGTCGTTCATTCGCAATTGTTCGTCTACCAGCCGTCATAAGCGCACGTGTGGCGAGCGCGCGCGCGATCGCGTATTCATGAACGATACATTTTTTTATCACCCAGTGTTTCGTAATCGTAATTCAGTAAACAAAGTGTTTTTTTCATTGAAAATCCCAAAAAGTATATTTGTGTGATGTGACGGGAATATGACAAGTGTACTGAAGAAATCAAGAGGAACAAAAGGAAAATCCGAATCCATGCAAGAAGATCTGCCTTATAGATGGGGGAATGTTTCCCGCGGACACAAGTCGGAGGATGTGGCGCAGCTTATAAAATGTATAGATGACAACATCATCGGAAAAGGAAATTCGTTTTGTGGGCCGTATGGAAGGAGAAAATGTGAGTTTTTTTAATATTAACTGCGGCCATTTTAACAGGTTTCTTGATAATGCTTATAAAAATATTGTTCTATCTTCTTAAGCTACCTACAATATAAAATATAAATCTTATTGTTTCTGAAAATTTTACCGTAACCAAACTGTTCTTTGGAAGTACGTTCGTTAAATTCTTGTCGACAGGTCAAGGTCCATTAGCTGAAATTAACGCGCCATAAGTTTACATTATTCAGTGTAGAACGTACATTATACCAGCTAGTGTAAAAGTTTAAAAATAATCTCGCTGTTTATTGATCCAAATATTTATTAGCCTTAGTTTATATTATGATGTCATGACTTTTCAAAACCAACTAAATATAAATAAGTAACGAAATGTAGAAAATGTGCTGAATATTTCAATTTTAAAACTTTCAAACTTAATTAATTGAAATGTGAGTCCGGTTGTTCAACCCCTTAAATTACTTTTGAGTTGTTTTGGGAATTGTCCAAAAATTTTCAAATGGTGGAAATTTTTGTATATATTTCTCAGAAAAGTAGTAAAATCGAAAAATAGTAATAAAATTTTTTTTTAATAGATTATTTCAATATCGAAATTTTTCGATGACTCAACACTAGTTTTGAGACTGTCAAGTACAATAACATTTTATAGTGTCGAGGATTGATCAGGCATAAGCATTTTCTAGCAAGGTTTCGTTGTTTCGCGAAAAATTAAAGTGGACAATAACAATGGAACGGTGTAATAATAGGTATTTAAGTAATAGGAAACGTGGAATTAAAAACAATAACAGACTGTATTTGCAAGTAGGTATAATGAGTTACTAATAATGACACATGTGGGTCCTAGCTTATTATAAATTATGTTTGTTACGTGATCTCAGTGCACAGGAAATTGAAACACCTACTCATTGGCATTCTTCAGTTTGCCATTGATTTATTTGATATTAGGACACAATTCTCCATTTATCGACTTATAGACTCCAGTTATCACGATAAAAATAAAAGGTACTTGTGATTAAAAACTGAAAAATGCTTTAACGCTGTTGCGTTGTTTTATGATATTTTATTTGTTTATCGATACACCATGATGAACAGATGATTATGATCATTGTGTATCACCAAAAAAGGTTATATTTCAACTTTTTCCTGGACGGTTTTAAGAAAAAAGGTTGAGTGAAAGACGCATGCCTTTTATAGAACAGGTTTTAGAGGTCGCTAGGGAGAGACGGGAGCAAAAACCTGGATGCCACTTTTTTACAAATCTTCCTGTGCATTATTTTATTTTACCGGTCAAATACCAACAATATGCGAGTAGATAGATATTTTTAAGCAATGTATAGAAATAAATGTCGCAATACAAATCTAATACACTATAGTAAATAAGTATATGAAATTGAATGCATGTATTTTTATTTGTTAATTTGTCCCGTATGCATTCCATTATTACTCATCCGGTTGCGATAAAACTTTCGTCAGTTTTAGAGCCGACGTTAGCTAAATTAGTTTTAGTAGCAGTAGAGCTCCATGTTCCGAGTTCATCCAAGGAAGTACCGCCACTGTACCTTTTTCTGCCGCCAAGCAGTTTTGTGAGCATTACCGTGTTACTGTTTTGAAGGGTAAGGGTGCTGGTGATGTTACAGGCACATGGGACATTCAACTTATGTCTCAGGATGATGGGTGCAGTATATATATATATATATATATAGTTAGATCCCACTGTTGGGCATAGGTCTCCTCTATTAAGGTAAAGGTAGTTTCCATTAAAGGTAGTCTACGACCTTCGCCCGATGCGAGTTGGAGATTTCACAGCTTTTCATGGCATTACAACGCATTTGGTACAGCTGTATAGTGTCAAATAAAAAAGTTCAAGTCCCAAAACTTCTCTAAAACAAGAATCTTTCGGCTGTTATCAAGGGTAAAGAAATTTATTCGTTAGACTATTTTGCAAAGTAAAATTACAATGACTAGATGGAATTCTTTAATATCTAATGTGTAAAGTTAGGTAAATGCACTTTTTTATGTTATTGGCCTCACAAATGTCAATAACCGAATAATCCCTTTTGCAGCGTTTTCTCAAAATGCTGTCTTTGATATTCAGTGTAATGCCACGGTAGCTATTAGTAAATAATTTTGTTGCCAGGCAATTGTATATTAATGCTCTGGCCGTTTGTTTCTAGATAAAACCTGTATTCAGCATTGGTACGCTTATAAATATTATGAATAACGTAATGTATAACTCTATCTTATCATTGAGTATTCAAGTTCATGAACGCAACTAATTTATTTAACTCGTAATAACACAAAGGATGTCAGTCTCACATTACCCGATGGAATATTAATCAATTTGTTAGCAAATAAATAGTTGACGTTTGCATTCACGTGTCCGACCACGTTTGAGGTTTTGTCCATAATGTCGCGCGTTTGGAACCACTATGCGTGTACTTAGCACTGGTAATAAAAGCGTCCTTTATGGGACTTTACACTTTTTTTTCGGCGTGGACGAGTTTAGTGTTGGGCCAAGGAAAAATGTCCATTTTGAAAAATCATATAAAAAAGTAATACTTTCTTCTGTATTTTTCTTAGAGGATGGAACAAAAATAAAGGAAATATTTTTCCACATTTGACAGTGACATCTGTCAAAAGTTGAAGATACCGAACTCTATCATGAGAATTAGTGAAAATAAGCCAAGCAAGGTTTAGAAAATTACATTTAGCAATGTCTAAACAATTCTATTTTATAATTCATGCTGAAAAATTTCCACTATTTGAAATTTTTCGAACAAATACCTAACACAAGGCAAGGTGAAAAGGGGAATGAGCAGAGGCAAGATGGCGGACTAGGAAAAAACCGTTCAAAAACTTTAAAATTTGTGTCAATGTTACCTAGTACCAGGCAGTATTACACGGTATTTACAACGAAACTTCGAATGAAACGACTCACATAATATCTATCGAACTTCACTTACGCAAGATTTTTGATTACATATTTAACCCCTTCATGGACAGTACTGAAATAATACCGCACACCAAAAGTCACTACTTTTCTTTATGCCTTAGTGACCATATTGATTCAAAATAATTATTACGCTTTATCCCTGACGGCTGATCCCGTCACATTCATGGCAGCACTAAACTGTTCTTGCAAATGTTTCTTGTGCATAAGTAAGTACGGCTATGACAGTAGTACAGTGATTTTATTTAATTTATTTCAGCAAAATAGTCTAAATCTATACATTAAAATAGCGTACACAGTAAAATAGCGTAACCCTTGCGGTATAAGAAGACAAATAAAAGTTATTACGTACTAACAATTCCAAAAGAAACAATTACTAATTAGATTATATTTAAGCAGTGATGAAGGTTATTTATTTACCATTGAATAATTAAATCAGTCAATCAGTTTGGAACGTAATGAGAGAGGTGATTTTGATTACTAATAGTACACTGTATATCGTTAGTTGTTCATCAAATTTAAACGAAAATTAAGTAATTCATTTCACCTAGATGGCAGAAAATACATACCTAACTAACCTGATTTTAAGTGTGAAAACACATTTCATTGTTATTTATTATAGAATAGGATTTCTGCAGTACCTACACATTATTGGTTTATTGAATTGCTAAAAAACTATGCATTTAGAGAAAAAAATTGAGGGAATTTTTACTGTCAGAAAGTTCCAGCGCGAAAACAAACTACATAACCAGAAAAGGCAGTCGCTGGCGACGCACTGACATGTACGGTCTTACATCATCTCATACAAACACGTCGGTATTCACCATACTGTCTTAGTGTGCACATATTAAATATGTGTATGTAACATCCACAAATGTATCTCAAATAAATCATTCAATTTTGTCAGTACATTGTTGATACTTCTCTATGGAGCAGTAGGCGGCAACTACAAAGAAAGCACTTGGAATACGCACGGTAAAACGCGTAGCAGTTTTTATAAGATCCATATATCGAAACGGGATAGCCCGTACTGTCCATATTCGAATTTTTCATTTTACGGTAAACGCCGTTACTGTCCATGAAAGGGAACACTATTTGGGTTTTGTTGTATTCCGTTTAATGGTACAACAACTTATGCCCACTACTAATCTCGAGTTCAGGGTTCAGAAATAAAACCCTTTGTGCTAATGAAGGTCACAAACTGTCTGTAGACACTCGTATTAAATATTAAAATCATATATTGGTGCGAGTGTGTGAGTACAAAATATATTTCAAATCTTAGTGGAAGATTCTATATGTAGCGTCATAACGCTACATAGAATCTAATAATATAATATAATAAGAATATAATAGTAAACATGTACCTCATAAGGTACATGTTTACTATTCATATTACTATATAATTTAGATTAATAAGCTAAAGAATAAATAAAGGAGGTAGATAGCAATTTCTTCCTATAACAACTTTACTATAGAAATTTAGGAAATGTAAAGGGGGCGCAACCGAAGTATTCGTACCCTTGGTAGGTAAAATAAAGCTACAAACATGTGATCATATGTCAAAAGTGCTTCGCATGAAAGCCATAAAAATAATACTACGAACTGTTTACATGAAATTATGTATAATTATGTGATTTTTATAACATTTGTTTGTTTTCGGTATATTTATTTTTTGATTGTTTTTTTTTGTTTGGCAGTTTAATTTTTACCTATCATTTAGGTAACCTCCATTAATTAAACGTAAGAGTAATTTAATTACCTTTTACGCTGTTCGCATTGTCTATTTAATAAATACTTAATCGGGAGCAGTTGGTGAATTTTATGACATGATACGTTCTCAGTTCGTTCACATTCACTGTTAGACTATTCTTGATTTGCGCTATTCGCATATTATGGCGCAAATTGTGACTAATGAAAACTCTCAAATGATAAAGTTCTAGAATAATGTTTTGAAATTTACAATATCATTTCGCAAGACTGGAAAATTGTCCAAATCTAAATAGAAATCATATTAATCTTCGTTTCTTTAAAAATACTATGAAGCTTGTCCTTTA